AAAAAAAAAAAAAAATGAACAGCCATACACCAGAGACATTTTGTGGAGTGGAGTGGGGAATGGGATCAAAAAGGCGGGGAAGGGAAGTGCACGGGATTATGGTGATGGCACACGGGTGACTTGGTGATGGAAAACCCACGGGGATTACAATTGAGATTAAAAAAAAAAAGTGCAAAATGATGTAAAAATAAAGTGTTACATTAATAAAAAAAAAAATAGTCCACATGATACGCATAACAACTGTGCCAGGTGAGTCTGACTAGCATGTTGTAGCTGAAGCCGCGACCCCCAGGCAGACTAGAGGCAGGGTGGGGCACAGCTTCCACCACCCTACGTGGTCCTGGCTCCAATGCCCAGGGTCTTCTTACTACATTCTGTGCTACTCCAAAATGGACAATATTGTGACTGCTTACAGCTGCATATTAAGCTAAAACTTTTTTTTTTTTAAGATCTATTTATTTATGCATACAAGAACTTGGGTACAGGCCAGAGGTGCAGTATATGATAAAATTCACCAGAGACAGAACGGGGAGCAGAACAGGCAGATCTACTGAAATACACTGCTGAGGGGAGCAGTGGGAGGGTCAAGAGAGGTCTGCTGCACCATGTGGGTCAGTTCCCTGGCTGGGGATCAAACTCATGCTGCAGTGGCTGCCAATAGCCTCACAGAGCTGTGCTTTAACACGTTGGGCCACCAGGGAGGACCGTAAAACTTAAGTTCTAAGAAAGCTTTTTTTTTTTTAAAAGATCAAAGAAAAGGTATTAGTGATAATTCATCTGAACATTTCAGTTATTTGCAAAGTAAAAACAGCAAGTCTTTACAAGACTCACTATAGTGAGAAAATCAGGCAAGCATGCAATGAACTGTAAAAACAGTTTCTGAGGTTGCGTCCCTAGGATTATGTGAATACCATCAGACTATATGCAAAAATGGGCCTGAGTGCATGTTTACTGGGGACGCTTTGGTTTCCAGGGGCCCAGGACCCAAAATAGATATGATATAGCAAACTATGGAATCCTGATTCCTAACCCATTAATAAAGGCAAAACCCCTCTAAGTAGGTCATTCAAAAAAATTAAATTCACTCCTTCTTTATGAAACAATTATTCTTTAAAAAGAGACTCTCACTTTACCTGTTTCTGTGCTGCAAAGATGACATTCATGAAGTTCATATACTGCAGTGCACTGTCCTCTGCCGCCTTAATCACCTAAGATCACACCCATGTTAGAATATTCCAGGCAAATCCTCGTAACCCACTCCTGCGCCATGAGTTACTGCAACTATGAGTGACATCACTTCTGATTTGTCTTCCTACTTAGATATTATTAATATCTAAAAGTTTTAAGTGACTCCCCCAATTATACTACCCAAGAGACAATCTGTGTCAGTAGTTTAATGCACCTCCTTTCAGAGAGCAATTATGTGTGTGTACACCCACAGTATCTCAGGATGATATTTGACCCACTGTGCTGCAATCTGCTTTTTCAGTCTGAAATACACGGGGAAAAAACACATCACATCAAGGAATTTGATGTATTATGACTACTGGTATTGACACCACAGGTTTCCATTATGTAAACAACTATGTCCAGAGGACATTTAAACAATTTCCACTCAGGTCTATACGACCCTTGGGCAGCTCCCCTGGAAACTGCCAGGGTTTTCAGTGCTGAGCAAGAAGCTAACAATAAAAATCCCTTTATTTGACATGTAGTTTTTAATCAGTTGTACACACAGCTTGCTAAATCAATTCTGGGTGTTTAGTATTTCTCACTTCTATTATAAATGAGTCTTATTGTCCGTTATTCTAATTGGCTATAGCTGATAGAAACACAGTACTGATTTTTCAAAAATCTTACCAGTATTCTTGACTTCATTTCTTGATTATCTATGGAGATTAAAAAAAAAGTGTAACTCAATCTTATTAAACATACTATAAAGTTTTCTAACTAATTTTAAGCGGTTTACTAAACTCACAGTAGCAAATACAGACTACATATCATAGAAAATGGAGGCTCCTACCTTTAACCTCCTTATTCATTCTATGAATGTCTTGTTTTCTTAGCATTAAGGAAAAAAATTTTTACTTAATTTCATAAATATTAATATTGAACAGAAAAAAATGTTAGTTAAATAAGCCCAGTATCCACATAGCTAAGAAAACAAAGGAAATATTCCATTAACCACAACAGACAAAAAGAGATATTGGAGGTTCTGTAGTTACTACCTCGGCAACTAACCAGGCCTGTAACATAATCTGGTCAAAATAAAGTCTTTGTCCCAGAAAATTAAATTGCCTGTGACTACCTACCATGCCTACTTTTGAGAAATAGGGCTACAGGGAAGTCAACAATCCAGTCCAACAAGAGAACAAATAGGAAAGCCACACACAGGCATGCTCAGGCAAAGTCTAAGACAAAGAAATTCCTCTCAGGAATGCAGTCTCCTGACTGCTGAGTTCGAGGAAGCCCTTTGCATGTGGGGCAGTCAAGCAGTCACTCGTTTATCAGCTGGGGGCCAGTGAACAACTGCCCCACCTCAATGAAAATTAAAATGAAAAATGAAAAAAACTCTCCTTCCTTCCCCTGTATCAAAATAAGAAACAAGGAAGCACACAGCAAAGTAGTACATGCTGTGAGCACAACAAGTTAGACAAACTTAAGAGTTTTCTTATAGTTCCTGATTCATTTTTTTATAGCTATCTCAAAAGTATTTCAAAGCCAGATAAAACTGTCTTTTGATGTTTCACCACTTCAGGAGATTCACACGTCCCTGAATAACTTAGAACCCACAAGTCAACATATGTTGGTCACAGAAGCCACCGTCTGAGTGGCTGTGACACCAAGGATACAGCAGAGCGCTTTGGCGAGGGACCCAGCCAGCAGGGTTTCTGTGTGCTGGCCCTTTATGTCACCTACAAATAAGAAAACACATGGTGAACTAAAATAAATTTTAAACCAAAGTCGCCTTCTTCATGAATAAAATTCAGACCACATTTTCAAACTGGGTTTAAAAACACAGCAATTGGGCCCTCCTGGCTGGCTTTAGTTGTTGGGTGTGCTAACACAGGTGTTCCTGAATATGTGTGTGTGTGTGGGGGAGGGGGGTGACAGAAATCAGGAATGGAAGTGGAGTTCCTTTCTACCTTCTGCCTGCTAGACTAGACACACCCCAACTCACAGATTGTTGCATAAAGCCAATAAAACCTTTATAATTAACTCAGTTAAGTTTTAGCAGTTCAAAAAGGAGGAAAACCAGGTCAAAAGGATCATGTTGGAAACAAAAGAGTGTCTTTCAAGAAGTAGAAACACCAGTGGACAGTGTCAAACACTGGAGATCAGCAGACAATGAGTAATGCAAATGATCTGAGAAAAGAAAAGAGCTTGCAAGTAGACTAACCCAAATCCTAAGTACCTCCACTTCAATGTTTGCTGGGTCAAAATTATATAAGGGGAAAAAAAAAAAACTGTTACCCTTGGTCATTAGATCTTTAATTTCTTCAGCAATAACTTCATTTGCTGCTGTTAACAGCTCATATTTCCCGTCTTTACTTCCTGAGGGGTTCAATTCAGGAGGGTTGCCAGGGTCTCCAAAGAAATCTCCCAGCCTGCCATTCTTCCCAGGATACAAGAATCGACTGAAACAGAAAAGGCAAGTTACACAGGACTCCTGCCCTGGTGCTACATTGCAGCAAAGTATTCAGCAAAGGAAACAGACAAAAAGCACTCGATTCTGGACTCACAAGAAACTACACACATTTCATTTTAAAAAAACATATGGAAGAGAACAGATTGGAGAACATGATTCTACTACCAAAGCTTGCAAGGGCCCACTGTTTTCTCAAAAAATGAGAGGAAATAAGGGGAGTTCTTGTCATTATCTCTTGAAATGCTAGTTCCTCTTTTACCTTCCCAGATGACATTCAGAAGAGATCCATAATGAATTCTAACTCAGCACATTTATTATTTGAGGTCCATGGAATGAGGGAAGATGAAAGTGACTTGTTTCATTTAGCTTAATTTGCCAGAGCTAAATGTACACTGAAGTAGCCCTACTAGGTTTTCAACAATCATACAACCAAAATGCACCTGTACCAATTCTTGATGCTGTCTTGTTCACTGGACAGGAAGAAACTGTTTTGCAACACAGAGCATAAATGGGATGTGCCAACTGGCACAAAACCTCAGAGGTTAAGCACTCACTAATCATCACACTGGTCACAATAGTCATACCTTTCTTGAATATGACTTGCTATCACGGCAAGCTTGTTGGAACGATTCATGAATAAATGAGAATTTCCCAGCACCATTACAGCATCTATGCATTTTGATAAGGTAAACTGTTGAAATACAGAAAACATTAGAAAAGGTTAGTTAGGTATCTATAATCATTATGTCAGGTCTTGAAATAATTAAGATTTTGGGCTCTCTGGGCCCTCCGTGGTGGCATAGTGGGTTAAAGCATAGCACTAAGAAGCTAAAGCCACTTCAGCATGAGTTTGATCCCCGCCTGCCCCAGAGGTGACCCACATGGCGTGACAGACCTCTCCTAACCCACCCGCTGCTCCCCTCAGTAGTGTACTTCCTCAATTGCCTGTTCCACTCCCTGCTTTGTCTTTGGTGAATCCTCTCACCATCCCTGTGCCTCTAGCCTGTATCCCAGTTCTATATGTACTAATAAATAAATCTTTAAAAAAGAAAAGATTTTGGGCTCTCCGTGGTGGACCAACAGGTTAAAGTACTGCATTATGAAGCTCTATGAAGCCACCGCAGCATCTCCCGCCAGGGAGCTGGCCCACATGGCGTGGCAGACCTCTTCTGATCCGCCCACTGCTCCCCTCAGCAGTGTACTTCGCCAATCTGCCTGTTCTGCTCCCTACTCTGTCTCTGATGAAGCCTCTCACCACCCCTGCACCTCTGGCTTATACCCCAGTTTTAAATCAATAAATATTTTTTAAAAAGGATGAAAAGATAAGCTAAAGCTGGAAGAAAATATTTGCAAACCACACACCTAACAAAGGACCTAAATATAGAATACATAAAGAATGTCAAAATGTATCAAGAATACACAAGTGTCAAGACTCCATAGTAAATAAATTTAGGGGAAGTTCAACATAACTAGTCATTAAGAAAATACAAATTAAAGGGCCTTCCTCATGGCATGAAGGTTTTTTGTTAAGTCAAAGCACTATGAAATAATCCTCAGCCACTGATTGATCCCCAGCCAGGGAAGTGACACACATGGCACAGCAGACCTCTCCTGTCTCTCCAGTTGCTCCCCTCAGAGGTGTATTTCAATCTGCCTGTTCTGCTCCCCACTCTGTCTCTGGTGAATCCTCCACACCCACATCTCTGGCCTTTACCACAGTTGTTACATGCATAAATAAATAAATCTTAAAAAAAATGCAAATTAAGACCAAATGAGATAGCACTACAGGCCTACAAAACAGCTAGCAAAAAACAGTGACAACACCAAATGACAGTGAGAACCTGGACTTCTCATACTTTGTTGGTGGGAATGTGAATTGGTGCAGCCACTCTGGAAAACAACAGAGCAATTTCCGATAAAGCCAAGCCTATGACTGCTGAAAATGAAAACCTGAAAACAAATTTTTTTATTGTAACAGCAAAAGAGTGGTAAAAACTCAAATGATCTTTAACAGGTAAATGATTAAACCAACTACTACATCAGCCATAAAAAAGTACAAACTTTTGCATGAAACAGCTTGGATGGATTAAAGGCATTTTATAGAGACAGAAAGTAAGTTAGCACTGCCCATGAAAAGGGGTGGAAGCAATGACTGCAAACAGGCATAGAAGGATTTGAGGAGGGACTGAAAAGCTCTAAATGGAACTGTAGTGATGACTACTTTATTGTGCCTCCTCAAATTATAGCATTATATATCACTACATGTAACTTGCTAGATTATCATAATGGACACTTTATGGTATATAAGCTATTCCTTAATACACTGATTTACCTATCTATCTATCTATTTAATTATTGTCCCAGAATTCTCCAGAGCTCTCACAGCAACACCTCATCTATTCATTTAGTGGGCATAAATTAAAATCCTACTGTTGGTCAGCAGTTGAAGATGCACAATTAACACGACACAGATCTGGCCTTAAAATCACTGACAAGGTCGAAGGCAACAAGCGAACATGCAGCGCATCCAGAAGACAGGCGGAATGTTGGCTTCCAGTGGAGGTGACAGCACAGCAGGAAGAGGGCAGGGCTGACAAGTGGTCACTCCCTCCTCTCTCTCCCCTCAGCCTGTCCCGCCAGGCCTGTCCTTCCCCTCCATGCCCTGAATTGGCCCTGAGGACCCACATCCTGTCAGATTGCAGGGCCAGATCACTTTCAATGACATTAAACACTCAACCTCTCCTTCCTTCAGAAACACTATGTTCTTGGCTTTTGATGACATCAATTTTTCCTGGTTTTCTTCAAGTCTCTATTACTTTCTGTCCTTTCCTCAATTCCCAAATGCCAATCCATGTTACATCTAAATCCAACTGTTACAGGGCACCCCAGTGTGAACTGAGCCACCTATCTGCGGGGCCTCACCCACGCGCTTAAAATTCAGTTATACTACAGGCACACACAAAAGTGTCGATAATGGGTCTATTTACAAAAGGGGAAAAGAGCAGGAAACAACCCAGGGAAAGAGAGAGGGATACAAAGTGACTGGAATATCTTACCTGCTTGGCTGACTTGGAGCTCTGGTAACAAACTAGCTGAAAGCCCCCAGTAACAGGGTCCCGAAAGCCATTGCCGAGGGAGAGCACCTTAGCAAATGATGCCCTATTTACCCCCCAAAGTCCCAGAATGCTGCTTAGCTTCATCTTTGGGTCCTCACAGTTCTCTCCCTGGTACTGCTGGAGTTGTTAGTTTCCAGTCACTGGAGTAGGGGGTGGAGTCCACAAAACTACAGAGTTCCTTTAGGACATCCTTCCCCTTAACACAACCACTCCACATAATTCCCATACCTGTACCCCTATCTCAATAGTCTGGACTTAGAAGGGTAACCTAAGAGAGAATAAAACTGGTTTTTAAAAAGCAGTATGAATGCAGATGAAACAGAGCTATCTAAAGTCCACCTCAAGCAGTCTCACCTGAGATTCCTTTAATGCTTGTTTTCCCCACCAAATTGGGTTGGTATCAACTACGATGACTAGAAGATTCAATTCATCTTCTGAAAATGTCAACACACACAAAAAAAATAATTAGCATCATGAAAGTGAATCAAAGCTAATACCCCAACTTGTATAAGACCTTAAGTTTGGCAAACCCCTAACAAGTACTTGTCTGCTTTTGGTACCAGCACATGTTTCATGTACTTGAGAAAATAAGTGAGTGAGTGTAGGGGATTTCTGCCTGCTTTGGCACTATTCTGTCCCCTCAGCACAGAGCATACGCTCAATAACCATGAGGATGAATCTAAAGACAATGCAATTTAAATGCCCCATTAAGGACAGGGGCACTGATTTTTTTTTTTTTTAAAGATTTATTTGTGCATACAGAACTGGGGTACAGGCCAGAGGCTCAGGGGCGGTGAGAGGCTTCACCAGAGACAGAGCGGGGAATAGAACAGGCAGATCGAGGAAGTACACTGCTGAGGGGAGCAGCGGGCGGGCCAGGAAAGGTCTGCCACACCATGTGGTCACCTCCGGGGCAGGCGGGAATCGAACTCATGCGGAAGCGGCCTCAGATTCTCAATGCTGTGCTTTAACCCGCTGCGCCACCAGGGAGGGCCGGCACTGATTTTTTTTTTTTAAAGATTTATTTATTTATTTATTTATACAGAACTGGGGTACTTGCCAGAGATGTGGAGGGTGAGAGGATTCACCAGAGAGAAACCAGGGAGAACAGGCAGATCAACAAAGTATACTGCTGAGGGGAGCAGCAGGCAGGTCAGGAGAGGTCTGCTGTCCTGCTATCCCCCGGGAAGGCAGGGATAGAACTCATGCAGAAGTGGCTTTAGCTTCTTAGTGCTGCAGAGGCACTGATTAAGTCTTAATCGCCCACTGCTCCCCTCAGCAGTGTACTTCATCAATTTGCCTGTTCTGTTCCCCACTGTATCTGGTGAATCCTCTCACTGCCCCAGTACCTGTGGCCTGTACCCCAGTACTGTATGCATAAATAAATAAATCATAAAAAAAGATTTTACTGTGAAAAAGGCATTAGGTAACTTTCCACTGTGACAGATGCAACTGAACATTACTTCATTCAACAAACATCTGTTGTTGTATAAGGTGTTGAGGATTCTGGGTCCAGCCTCAAAGAACCTACTCTCTGAAGTAACAAAGACACACAAATCCATAAACTCAGACTTTATCAAAAACTCAGTGCATTTACTAGCAAAAAATAATTAGTTCCACGTCTCCTAGTCTCTGGATAATCCCCACCCCATCTTTGATTTCTGTTGACATATCAAAGTCCCAGCTACACTTCAAAGCCCCAAACAAGTGCTACTTCTTTATTCCAAAAGCCCACCCTCCTCCCACCCCAACCTCTGACCAGGTCCTCCTAGCAGGTCCCAGCCTCTCCACCATACTACTTGCTGACAATTTTAAAACACACCCCCTCTTTTGTTTTTACATTTCACAGCGGCCAAAATCAGAACAATAATTTACAATTAAGATTGGCAGCCTTTTTTTGGCCCTCCCTGGTGGCGCAGCGGGTTAAAGCACAGCACTGAGAATCTAAAGCCGCTTCCGCATGAGTTCGATTCCCGCCTGCCCCGGAGGTGACCACATGGCGCGGCAGACCTCTCCTGACCCGCCCGCTGCTCCCCTCAGCAGTGTACCTCGTCGATCTGCCTGTTCTGCTCCCCACTCTGTCTCTGGTGAAGCCTCTCGCCGCCCCTGAGCCTCTAGCCTGTACCCCAGTTCTGTATGCACAAATAAATAAATCAAAAAAAAAAAAAAAAAAAGATTGGCAGCCTTTTTTGTTAGTGGCATGATTAGTAAGAATACATTTCATAATCAATATGCTTAGTTTGGATGAAATGTGATCTTACTATTTTGCAAACAAAACGTGTTCTAAGTCACAGGGTATGCCAGAGGTGGGGTCTGAAGCTGTGCCCAGCACCATAGCCAGAAGCAAAGTCAACATCTGCTTTGAACACAGATCTGCTCAATATAGGTGGTGGCTCTTCTTTGCCACTTAGTCTATTTCTGTCCCCCCACAGCAGCCCTCTCCTAGTGACACCGAGTACTCACCACCTCAGTTTACAGTTAGTGGGGTTTCTGATCTGGCTTCCCAACCTTGCCTATGAGACTATAGACTCCTTAAAGGAAAATTTCTGCTAATTTTGAAATGGAATGATATCTGTATATCATACAACAAAGTGTGTATAGGCCCTCACTCCCTTTCCCCTAAGTCCACATGCCTTTGGCCTTATCTCCCTCAGGCCACACACCATAATGCTCAGGGCCATCCACTCCTGAACCAACAAGAAGCCTGAGGTAAAAGACAAAGTGCTGCCTATTAGGAGACAGGATGTTTCCTTACATAGCAATGTCCCTGTTAATGTCTTTCTTTGGGACTCTACCTCATTTGACAACAGGAGCCATAGACCTTCCAGATGGTGCAGAAATTAAGTTACAGCACTGTCAAGCTATCCGCAGCTACTGTAGCACAAGTTTGATCCCCAGCCAGGGAGCTGACCCACATGGCACAGCAGACATCTATCTCCTGTCTCATCTGCTGCTCCCCACAGCAGTGTATTGCAATAGATCAGCCTATCCTGCTCCCCATTCTGTCTTTGGTGAATCCTTTCACCCCCTGCACCTTGTATGCATAAATAAATTAAACCTTTAAACAAAAAAGAAGTAAATAAGCCTGCCTCTCTCAGAGTTGCAGTATGGATTAAAACAAGCATGGACAACTGTTTAAGACTCCAAAAGAATCTAGTTTCTCTTCTTGGTCCCTGATATCCATTTTCCACACACCAGCCAAAGTGATAGATGAAATATGTAAATCATTATAGTATTGCCTTGCTTAACACCTTATAATGGCTTCATATTACATTTAAAAATAAAGCTCAAACACTTTTATCATGGCCCACAAGAGCTATGCACGTGGCTGAGCTCATCCTTCTGTTACAGGGCAGGGAGAGAAGGGCACCACCAAACCACCCCAAACCTGCCTGCTCTAAATAGGTTCTGTCATCTGCCGCATCAAGACAAGACATAAGAGCTTTAGTGGAAAGGTACTTTAATACAATGAGTGTGCAATACAGAAGACAAAGAATATAACGTCTAAATCAAACACCTGAAGTTACCCATCCCCTCATGGGTAAAAGTCCACCCAAAAGGGATTGGCCCAAGGCAAGGCCTGAAAGCCTGCCACCAAGACTAAAGCACCTTCTGGCCAGCAGGGACCCAGACAAAAGGATCAGAAATGGCCAGACAAGTCTGGAAGGAAAAGAGCAAAATCAAATCAATATAAATGCTGCCATATTCAACCTCCCCGTGGATCTCTCACCCACATCTGTTTTAACCAGCACAGGGCCAAGAAACAAGCATGGTTTCTTCACATGTCTCCCTGCTCCCTGTGCCTCCCTCAGGTCTCCTTCTGGCTCTCCATCCTGCTTCCTTCTTCTTAGACTCCTCTCCAGATTCCTCTCTTCTCTGCTCAGCTCCACCCTCCTTCTGGGTGGGGCAGGGAACCTGGAACTTCCCCTTTTCTTGGGGACCACCCAGTTACACTCTACCTCGTTTTGTTTCTGCACCAGCCTGTTTGAGAAATCGGGTTCTAACTGGTACTCTCCCCAGCTTCTCCTGTCACCGGGTTCCCTGTTTCAGTCTTCTCTGTGTAATACAGTGGCTGAACTTGCCACAGGGCCTTTACTTAGACATTCCAAGGCCATTCAAATCAGTATCCACACCTGGGTCTTCCCTGGACTACAGTAAAGTAGCTAGCTCCTCCTTAATCAAGCCCAACCGAAACTAGCACATGGCCCAGTTATAGTGCCTTCACCTTGCTTGTCACCCCCACGAAATTATTTTTATTGGCTTGCTATTATCGGCATCGCCCATTAGATTAAATTCCACGCGGGTCCTGATCTTTCACGCTCTTGGCTGTTCTCCCCAAGCACATGAAGATAACGCCTGGCCCAAAGGAGGAAGCCCAAAACAAGCCCTGAATGAATGAACACACTCGCTACTCCAGACACCAAAGAGATTCCACGCAGCACCCCCAAAAAACACACTCCATCTGGCCGGGTCCAGACCGGCCGAGCCCTCCCGGCCCTGAGGGGGAGAGAGGGGGTCCCACCCGGCGCGGCCCTCACCGTCCGAGACCATGGCGACCCAGGTCCAGCTAGCTGCTCGGCTCTTGCGCACCCCACTTCCGGCGCCTGCAGTGACGCGAAGCAGTTTGGCCAACGCCGCGCCCCATACCTTGGGCCACGCCCACGAAGCGCCGGAAGTAGGTTGTGTAGCCGCGCGGCGCGCTGTCAGGCTCCGTGGTGGCACAGTCGCTGGACCCATTCGGGCAGGGCCCCTCGGGCTCCGCGGTCCAGAGGGTACTATGGACGACAAGGGTAAATCGGGCCGGGCCGGGGCTGCTGGGCCTCAGGCAGAGCCGCGTGCGAACCCCTCCACCTCGAGCTCCCAAGCTCCAGGAGAGGTCACGTTCCAAGCTCTGGCTGCTGGGCTGGATTTGGTTCCTCTAGTCACAACTAGATCTTCTCGCTGCTCCAGTATTCAGGGGATGGGTCCTGAGAGTATACAGACACCCCGTTTTCCCACGCTTTCCAATGCCCTCCGAAAAAGTGCGATTTCGGATAAAATGTGCTGGTCTTCGCACTCTTCATTTCCTCATATGTGAACTCTAAGTGAGAATCCCTGCCCTATCGGATTTGGTACTGGAAGCAAAAGAAAAAGGAGCAGTTGATGGGCTTGTCTAGTATGGGTATCATGATGTTTCATTAAGTGGAAAGCAAGAACTCGCGTCTATCTGTAACCTAGGCAAGGTAGGAGGCATGGACCTATAGGTTCATGATCCACGTACATATGGATGTATGTGAATAGGCTTCAATGGTCATAGACTGGAGGGGTGAGAAATTGGTAAAATGGTTGGGACTTGGAATCATTTAAAATTTGGCATCAAGGATAGAAGGGAGAATGACATTTCACCATCATTTAGTAAGTTTTATGCTGTCATAACAGACAGCATTTTAGATATGAGAAAGAGTTTACAAATTCTAAAGGGGCACAGTTTCTCTTCCCATCGACATCTGTGGTGCCCCTGAAGCCAAACACTGGAATAGAAAGTGTTCTTAAAATTTGTTTGCTTCATAGTGTCAACCTATTAAATGAATTTGCTGAATCACTTGTTTCTCCCTTCCCAGAGCTAATTGAATACTTTAAGTCTCAAATGAAAGAAGATCCTGACATGGCCTCAGCTGTGGCTGCCATCCGGACTTTACTAGAGTTCTTAAAGAGAGACAAAGGTAAAGAGGGCTATCCTCACACACTCTGGGCCTTGGGAATGTCTTCTAATTCTGTTAGAAGCACAGAAAATGAGAGATAAGTGTGTGGCTACATAGGTAAGGCTTCCCAAGCTCAATTCTTCATTTTCATCCTCCTTTTAACCTACAGAGAGCCCTCAAGTAATATTACCAGTTGTGTTCCTCTTTCATAAGTGAAATATCTTTGAATGAAGAGTGACCATTTTATATTGGGTTAACTGTGAAGCTGAAGTTATAGCAGTAGTATAGTTTATGAAGTTTCTATCTTATGAAGGTGCTTTTGGGGTATTTTCCAGAATAAATTTTAGTGTCATCATTCAATGTTATTCAGGCATCCTAAATGTAACATCTACATATGGCAGACAGTTTATACAAGCAGGAAAACAGTAAAGCCTTTTACCTGCAGGACTGGCCTGGAGTGTGTCTAAGACAACTCCAGGGTCTTCCTGTTGTCCTGGTCTTGTTATCTAACATCTCAGCCTTGCAGACCTCATCTGCCACAGCTAGTTAATTTCCTTCCAGTCTGCCCCTCACTGACATGTGCTTCAGCCATGCTGGCTCTCATTTGTCAGAGTTGATTCCCACCTTCGGGACTCACATGTTGCAGCCTGGGCCTGTAGTCTTTTCCACTGGGTCTTTAAGCGGCTGGATCTTTTTTCAGTTTAAATGCTCATCATTCACAGAGGCCATTCTGCTAACTCTGTGTAGGTGGTCCCACCTTTCTTATCATCCTGCTTTTTGCTGTGCTCATCACAATCTGTAATGGATTAATTTGCTTACTTTTTTGTGCGCTTGTACAGTCTGTCTCTTCCACTGGTATAGGACTTTACTGTGGATGTATCTCTGGCATCTAGAATAGGCTCTGGTGTACAGTAGGCACCAGTTAATGCTGGTTGGTTGGTTGGTTGGTTGAGTGAATGAATTACAGACCCACAATGGCTGTGATTCCACATTGAACATACATTCTTTATGTGGCCATTGCAGGGGAGACGATCCAGGGCTTGAGAGCAAATCTCACCAGTGCCATAAAAACCTTGTGTGGCGTGGACTCCTCCGTGGCCGTGTCCTCGGGTGGGGAGCTCTTCCTGCGCTTCATTAGCCTCACCTCTCTGGAATATTCTGTAAGCAGCCCTCCCCACTCCCTTACTCGGGTCACCTTTGTATGTGCCTGTTTGCTACAGAATTCTCTGCTAGAAGTGGAACTTCCGCCTCTCATTTTATTCTTTTCTCCCTAGGATTACTCCAAATGTAAAAAGATCATGATTGAGCGGGGAGAGCTTTTTTCTGGGAGAATATCGCAGTCGAGAAAGAAAATTTCAGATCTGTGCCATACTTTCATCAAAGATGGGGCAGTGAGTAGCTCTCCATCCTCTATGGTAATGGGGAGCAGGGACTTTAGGTTCCTGCGGGGAAAACCAGCGTCTGCCACTTAACTTGTGCAAAACCTGGGGAAGTTACTTACCCTCTGAGCAGGTAAGAACCACTCTCACAGGGCTGTTGTGCAGGCCTCTCCCTGCAGCTGCCATGCAGTGACCACTGTGAACCTAGCACTGTCATTTCTAGACAGTGTCACTTTAAACAGGCAAAGAGCAAGCTGGCACAGCAGTGGGCAAATCTCAATAAGATGTCTAGCTCAAGGCTTTGGCATTCTGAATCTGAAGTCACAGAACAGCACTTGTACTGGTTACTGTGGCTGTCTTCCCTGCCAGGGTCAGCATGGGATTGAGATTCTCTTTATAACTTCATTTTAAATGCTCTTACAGAGAAGCAGGTACAACCAAGTGTTTCCAGATCTTGTGAGGAAAGGCCAGGGCTACAACAAAGGGGCAATAAAGCCGGCAGTGTCTCTGCCACCAGCAGACTCCTGGGGCCAGGAAGCCTCCACTATCCATAAAATCACTGACTTACATTTTGACTGAAATCTTTCCCTGTTTTATTACCCACTTCCCAATCCTTGAAGTATGTTATTAGTCAATGACATCACAGATGAGATGAAAGTAGAACTTGTCCAAAAGCCAGTTGCTAGCAAAGCCTTCTGGGGCCAGCTGGGAGCAAGCTTATGGCTGCCCTCAGGTTGCCAAGTGGCCCCACTGGCCTCACTGGCCCACTTGCACCCATTCATGTCAACTGCGTGGTGCCCATCAGCCTAAATGTGCCAGTCATGTCTAAGCAATATCGAAACCAACCCCAAGGGGCTTGAGGGAGCCTTCCGCGACAAACACTTTTGTATCATAACTGCTGCCACTCTGAGCCTGAGAGACCAGAATGTATCCCTCTGACAGAAGCTTTTCAACTTGTACTGGGCTTAAAACTCAGTACCACTAGGGAACAATCCTGATTACAGCTGTTTTGTGAGAAAGTATATGAGAGGCTTTAGGACATTTGTTGCATCAAGCAACAGCTTTAGGAAGATGTTGGAAGGCAGTGGGAGTTCCCCAGGAAGCTCACCCCTTGACAGCACTGTCTCATATTCCCACAGAGAATACTGACTCATGCCAACTCCAGAGTGGTCCTGAGTGTCTTGGAAGCAGCCGTTGCAGCCAAGAAACGCTTCAGTGTGTACATCACTGAGTCCCAGCCCGACTTGTCGGGGCAAGTATCTTTCCAGCGGTGATCTGCCTGGCAGTCACTTTAAAGAGCAGACTGTGGGGTAGATACTGTCACTGGGAGCCAAGATATTCCCCCTGCTTCTGCCGGTCGGTCAGCTCTGTCCTGACAGTGCCCATTCCTGCCTCAGCAAGAGAAGCCACTGGGAAACTACAGAAGGTTACAGCCCTTGATGAAGGGTTTTCATTAAAGTAGTTAAGTCAGAGGAGTGACAAAATTTTTACCAAAGAATATATAGTTTGCATGTTATCTAGGGGAAGATAAAGGGAAAACTTCATATACGTCTCAATTCACGTCTCTTGCTCAGACTACCTAAGATTATAGGTTTCTAGAAACACCTCCTCCTAAAGATCACAAATTTTCTTTTTCTTTTTAATAATGTAATAGTTTATTTTTACATCATTTTGTGCATTTTTTCATCTCGGTTGTAATCCCTGTGGGCTTCCCCTCACCATAGTCCAGTGTATTTCCCTCCCCCCGTTTTTTATCCCATTCCCCACTCCACCCCCGTAAAATGTCTCTCTTATAACTGTTGCCTCTCTGAGCCTGAGAGACCAGAATGTATCCCAAATTCTTATTCCCTTAGAGTCTAGATCTGCCCCTTCACTGAAGCACTGACTTTCAAGCTGACATGAATCATCACTGTACAAGCAAACTGTCATCCACCACTGTGGTGTTTTTTTGTTTGTTTGTTTGTTTTATTCTTTCTAATATTTTTTAAATTTAATATTTTTTAAATTTTCAGGAGGGAAATGGCCAAAGCCCTCTGCCACCTCAATGTCCCTGTCACTGTGGTCCTGGATGCTGCTGTCGGGTAAGCTCATCATCGTCCCAGCCATGATCACTTTTCCTTGCCCATGCCCAGGGCTAGGAGGAGCAGGGTGCCCAGATTGAAGGCTTGAGTCCCATTCATAAAGTAGCGTCCCGCATCTTAATTGACAGCTGCACTAAACAAGCAAGCTTGTTAAGAGGTCTTGATGATGGAAGCAGACACAAGATTAGGGTGTGGAAGAGAGAGGGAGTGGTTACACCTATGGTGGCGCCTTTGAAGTACGCTCTGCAGAGACTGGCTTGAGGGCACCGAAGTGGCTGAGCTCCTGCCACCTGAACACAGGGCTGTCCTGAGGCACACAGGGCTTTCATATCTCACCCTGTGACTCCACCTAAAGCCAAAGTCACGTCTGCTGCAGATTGTCAGTGTCCCGCCCAAGAGAAAACAGGAGTGGTGATCTCTTGGCATGAAAACACACGTGATTAAGAAAATTAGGGATGTGTTCAAGAGTTAGCATTTTAAAGAATTGTACTAAATGTTTTGAAAGCTAAATTGGCCCACACATTCCTGAGAACATTCTTTTTTTTTTTTTTTTTTTTAAAGATTTATGTATTTATGCATACAGAACTGGGGTACAGGCCAGAGGCTCAGAGAGGATTCACCAGAGACAGAGTGGGAAGAAGGCTAGGCCAACTGATGAAATACACTGCTGAGGGAAGCAGTGGGCGGGTCAGGAGAGGTCTGCTACGCCATGTGGGTCACCTCCCAGGCAGGGATCAAACTCATGCTTTAGTGGCTTTGTGCTTTAACCTGCTGCGCCACCAGGGAGGGCTCCAGAAGATCCTTTTTTAAAGATTTATTTATTTGTGCATACAGAACTGGGGTATAGGCCACAGGTGCAGGGACAGTGAGAGGATTCACCAGAGACAGAGTGGGGAGCAGAACAGGCAGATCAACAAAGTACACTGCTGAGGGGAGCAGCAGGCAAGACAGGAGAGGTCTGCTGTGCCATGTGGATCACCTCCAGGGCTTGGAATCGAACTCGCACTGAAGCAGCTGTGGCTTGCTTGCAGTGCTGCATCCTAACCCGTTGAGCTACCAGGGAGGGCCCTCCTGAGAAGATTCTTAAAATTCCATATCACTTCTCCCCAACATCAGAGCATGCAGGCCTTTAAAGAGTTTGGTTATACTGAAGTAGCGCAAGAAGTGTAGTACATGCACCCATCAGGATAAACACTGATACAGCCCATGTGTCTCTCACATGTGGCACCTGCTGGGAGCATCGTGAGGTCAGGGCCAAAGCAGTGTGAGGCCTTGGTCTACAACGCAGGTGCACTGCCTTGGGCCAGTGTTCTTGGGAAGTCAGGAGAGGAGCGGACCCTGAGGAAGGTGCAGGCATCATCTTTGCAGGTGATGATGCTGCTAACAAGAGCCAGAAAAGAGCATAAAGCAGTGTTTTTGTTTTCTTAGCTACATCATGGAGAGAGTGGATCTGGTCATAGTTGGTGCCGAGGGAGTGGTTGAAAATGGAGGAATTATTAACAAGGTAGGCCAACTTATTCTGAACGCCCTGCCCAGGACGTGGGGACAGCCAAGCGCCACACAGGTACAGGGTGTGAGGGCTGCACTCCTGTGTCCTGCTCAGCGTCCCACAGGCCTTCGGGGGTCAGTCAGGTGTCAGTGAAATTTCCTTCTGTTTTGGAGACTGAATCGTTTTAGAGAATGTAGTTTATAGCTTTTAAAAACATGTTTTCATTGGAATTGGGGTTTTGGCTTATTTTTCTTTCTCCTTGAGCATTCTTGACACCAATATCGTCACATCAGTTGTATTATAACCCCTCTGATTCACTGCTTAACATGGAAAGATTTTGTGAAAGTTTGTTTTTATGTGTGTGGTAAAATATAAAGTTTGCTTGCTATTCATGGTTAATCACACTCAGAGTGTCGTGCAGCCATCACCCACTGTTTTTCAAAACTTCCTGTCATGCCAAGCTGCAGCTCTTATCACTAAGGAGAAGCTTCTCTTTCCCCCACCCAGGCAGCTTCTAATCTGCTTTGTTTCCCAAAGAGACACGTCTACGCCCTGTGTTCCTGGTGTAAGTGGAATCACACCAGATTTGTGCTTTTTTTTGTTTGGTTGATTTCACTTCACATGTTTTCAAGGCTCACCTGTGCTGTGGCAGGTATCAGAACTCACTTCTGTTAACGGCTACATGTCATTCCGTAGACGACTGGACTCACTGATGGGAGGACACCATGTGGTTTTCACCTTTTGGTGCTATGAGCATCGGTGCAGTAACCAACCAAGTGTCTGTTTGCATTCTTCGGGGCATAATCCGAAGACAGGGATGGTCAGATCATGTCATTCTGTAGCTTTATTAGGAACTGCCAAACCATTTTCCACAGCAGCTGCCCCATGTCCACTACCACAGTGAATAAGGACGCCCTTTTCCCCACATCAGCGCCAGCACTGGCCATTTTTCCCTTTTAACCCCATCTGTCTTAGGCATGACCTAGTGGCCAGGTTCTCAAGCACCTTTTCCTACACTCACCATGTGTGTCTGGGAAGTGTTTTTGGTTGGTTGGTTGGATGGTTGGTTGGTTGGTTGGTTGGTTGGTTGGTTGGTTAAAACTCCCATGAGCCCAAAGCCAGCATTCCGTGTCATGTCCGCTTGCCTTCCTGTTGCCTCTGCTGGAGCCTGTGGCAAGGTCTCTTCATTCTCCATTTCTTCCAACTTCCTAGATTGGAACCAACCAGATGGCCGTGTGTGCTAAAGCACAGAACAAGCCTTTTTACGTGGTTGCAGAAAGTTTTAAGTTCGTACGGCTCTTTCCACTGAACCAGCAAGACGTCCCAGATCAGTTTAAGGCAAGTTTTAGATACTTGAAGGGGAATGAGACTAAACTGGGGGAAATGCAGTGCTTACAATGTTCCACCTTTCTCCCCGTCTCCACACTTTTCAGCCTTCAGTCTCTTGCTTTTGCAGCTATAGGTACAGAATGAGAAAAGGCAGGGAAAGCTGGTACCTAAACTACCCAAGGTTTGGGCTCAACTGCCTGGGTTTAGCTACCATTGCAGCCTCTGACCACATGATCTTGGGCAAGTCCTTTTATTTTCTGTTGTGAACTTGTTATCCGTAAGATGGGGCAATACCACCTGATGGGATTCTGTGACACTGTATGTCTAGTGCCTGTTGCGGGGTCAACTCTATGCAGACAGAGTGATTAGAGTTCTGGAGGCGTCTGCCCAGCACAGTAGTGAGGGAATTGTGGGGCTTAGGTTTCTTATTAAATTGTGGCCCTTGGCTAGTTGGCCACTGTGGCCACATGGCTGCCAGCTGGCGTCTCCCCTTGTCCAGAAAGCACTTTTAAGGAGTAGCCTGCTGGCCACTGTTCCCACATGGGTGGGCTAATTAACATGCATTTTCTATCTCTGCAGTACAAGGCGGACACTCTGAGATCTGCACAGACCGGACAGGACCTTAAGGAGGAGCACCCCTGGGTGGACTATACCTCCCCTTCCTTAATAACACTGCTCTTTACAGACCTGGGGGTGCTGACACCGTCAGCGGTCAGCGACGAGCTCATCAAGCTGTATCTATGACCGCCAGGCCCCTTCTTACCGCACCCAGCTGTTGGGAGTTGGGCAGCATGAGCAGCTTCTGGACCCTTCGGTGAACGAGGCCAAAGTTGAATTGGTTTTTTTAGTCAAGATTTATGAGTGAGGACTTAAAATCATAAGCCTTGGAGAATTTTTTGTTCACTTCAGTCCCATCTTAGATATGTTCATTATTCCTCTAAAATCCAACCTAAATTGTGCTTACAGTTTCCAGAAACTTTCCAAGTTCGGGATACAAATTAGATTATTGGCTACTCCACTGATGCAGAAAGACAGGCCCGAGTCCCCTCCCTTCATCTTCCCTGCTCTCCACTATTCTGATGAAACCTGGATGAGAGAAGCAGGCCTGAGAAGGCTGGTGTTCCTAGCTGCAGCCGGGCACCATGCAAGGGCTAACTAGCCACTGCCTGGACATATTACATACAGTGCCTTGTCAGAAAGGCAGGACTGGTTTCAGACCTCCAGGAGTGAATGCAAGCCAGTGGCTTCCGTTCCCAACAGGTTCAAGACAGACAAATGGGGGAGTGCCCAAGGGGACCCAAGGCAGCAGAAATCCTGCAAGGCTCACCACTGAGAGGCCTTCCAGAACACCCACAAACTTAAAAAAAAAAATGGAATTTCCTTTAATGTGTGGGTTGTGAACAGCTTTTTAAAACTGTACTTGGGAACAAGATCAGCATCTTTTCAAATAAACTATGTGAGAGAATCTGGCATGGTGCTGCATCTGTCTGGTCCACTGACCCAGGCCCCAGACACACTGGCCGCCGTGCAAGGGCACTGCGCACCCTACTCACACACTTGAGACACAGTCACCTAGAAGAACACTGTTTATTCAAAAGGCAGGATCTTTTCCAGAACATAGTTTGTTGCTTCTGCTTTTCAAATACTCAACAATAAAACAGCACTGAGGGCTATTCTTAGAAAAGACCTAGATATATCATCCACCCTCTGCCTGGGTAAGGACACCAGAGCAAGATCAGGGGCCTTGAATCTGACAAAGCTAAAGTTGAATGTACTCCAGTATCCTTGTATTAAAAACGTATAATAAGACAGCCACAAAAAAAAAATGAGCTCTGTAAAAATAAGTGACCCATTTCACCCCAACAATGTCCCATTTTCTTGTTATACTTCAAGGCTTGCAGTAAAACATTCCTGAATATGCAGTCCCCATCACTTCAGTCTGAAAGAATGGCTCCTCTTAGGGTCTGCTGAGTGACCAGCAAGAGCCAACAGGGACAGTCTGCTGAGCGGGGCCAGAAGAGACAGACATTCCTGCACACTTGTGCTCTCCCTGCAGCCTGGAGTCAGCAGGCATCTTCCAAGTCTGACACGGCAAGGTCTGCTGTTTTGATGGTCCTTTTGCCACTTGTTAACAACCCCCTCTCAAACTCTTCTTCAGTAATTTTGCCTTTCTTAAACTTCTTCAAGAGTCTTGTGTCATTAAGAAGTTCCTCCATGTCTTCATCTTCAATATCAGAACCCTAAGTGCAGAAGAGAACAACAAACTACTCAATTTCTCAGCAACAGTGTTTTAAGCAAAACCAGCGATTTTTAATCAGGAACTACTCTCTCAGATTAGCTTCTGCAAATACAGCCTGTTCCCAGCCCAAGTCTCCAATATAATGCAGAAATTTGAGCAACCCACACAATTCCTATGAACAGATACAATAAAATCTGTTCTGAATTCTAAGTTGGACATTGAAGTAATAAAGAAAACTGAAAACATTACCTCTTCCCGTTTCCTTTTTTCATTCATTTTTTTCTTCTTTTCCTTTTTGGCTTTTTGCTTTGACCACGCTTTATTTTTTATAAATTTTTTTCTTCCTTCATTTTCTGTCTTTTCTTTCCTCCTCTGTTCCAGTAGTTTCTGCCTCTGCTTCTCTCTGGTTTTATCTTTAAATTGAATGGTGTCTGTGTCAACATCCACAGGCACAAAGTCTGAAAACTGCTTCCCTCTCAGTTCCGGCATCTTGGGCATCCTCAGCAGGGCGAAACCTCGAGCAAGACTAGCAAAATCAAGGTCTGATTAAACCAAAACATCAGAGTTAGCACACCCAGGCTAGGAGGAGGGACAACCAGTGGAAGACTCCTAACTGTAACGTTTCCTAACCAACTGATCTAGTGACTTCACTGTGATGGGTTTTGAAAAATACATAAAATAATTACATTTTTACTTCAAAGCAATTCTCAGCAGCCAGTTTATTCTGTCTACTTAGATCCTGGGAAGACCTACTTCTAAATCTTTAGAAACATGCCTAACATTTTTATAAGACAAAGCAGTTAAGTACTTGAAAGGTGTGAACCCCTGAAGGTGGAGACACATCACATGAGAAGTCTGACTCACCCTTCAGTCTGAAGATGAGGCTGCATTCGTGCTTCGCATAGGCCTGGACATACGACACAAATGCTTTCATGCCTTTTTCAAATACAGCTCTGTCAGCCAAGGCCATGGACTTGAGCTTTGGAAGGAGGTCGACTGTGTTTCTTTGGAGTTTCATCTCCTGCAGGGGGCACTGTGGAGAGACCACATTCCCACCTCACCTCAAGTTACCCCCCATAACAATGCCAACAAAACCAGAGCAGAACAAATCTTTTTCAGAGACCCCGAAGTCAAATTCAACTCAAATACTAGCATAAATTTTTTTTGAAAGTATTTTAAGTTTTTGGGAAAAAAATTACAAATTGTTTTAATCAGGCTTTATACACCACTCCTAACTTCTAGTTGGAAGAAGGCAATGCTAAATCCATGTTCCCAAGTAACAAGACAGCTGGGGCCATTCAGTAGCTGCTTCACAGCCTCAAAGCCAGCCAGGTCCCTGCACTTACAGCACCAGCCTGGCCTTGTGAGCTTGTGATCCCTCATCTGAGTTCCAGAATGACTGCCCAGGACGAACTTTTCCAACCACCCCATTACCAGGCATTCTATCTTAAGAGAAAACAGCTTACTTTTTGGTTAATTGCAAGGAAATTGATGTAGGACTCTTCCATGGGAAGGAGAAACACCAGCGCGCTGCCCCCACGGCCGATGCGGGCAGTGCGGCCACAGCGATGCACGAAGGCACTGTGAACACAGGGTGAGCATGAGGCCACTGTGCGAGTCATTGCGCGGAGCATGGGCCTCCAGCCCTGCAGCTGAGCCATCTGCAATGGCCACAGTTCAGCCCACACACCAGACAGGGCCTGGCTGATGACCCACAGTCCTGGAAGACTATTTGGAAACAATGCAAAGTCTAACAAATAACGTGACCTGTGAGCCCTCTACCAAGAGGTGTCCATCTAATACTACTGGGGGCCCACATCTAAGGCATCCCCTGGCTTTAGCAGCATGACACATGTTTACCTTGAGGAGGATAATTTAAAATTGTATACATGGTATTAGGTAATGTTTTCCTGTAGAGATCTTGTGCATTTCTGTAAGAACTTTAAGAAGTACTTGAAAATAGCTCTAATCACTGCACAATATCATGATTGATATCCTAATGATATGTACAGGTCTGTTTCTTCTAATTAAAACAAATGTTTTGGAAACATGTTCACCTTCCTCAGGTTCACATCCCGTCAACCTAGGCTCCTAGGCAGAGAGGACCTAACGCACAGTACCTGGCGCTGCTGGGAGGGTCATACTGCAAGACCCAGTTTACTTCAGGGATGTCTATTCCACGGGCCATCACGTCGGTGCACACCAAAATCCCACTGGAAAATAAAAAGACACCACTGTCATGGCCATAGCTACCCTTACTGATCTCGGTAACGACACCAATAACACATGTCTATCTGGAATAACTATTTCTGTTTGGAACAAAATAAAGTATAAATGGGTATAATCCTTTGCAACTAAGTGATAAATGAGTGCTTCCCTCCCAGACAGCAGTGCAGCAGCACTACCACTGTATCAAAGAGTAATTCAGCAGAGCCAGGCACAATGATTAAGAAAACAGGTAAGTACTGATCAAATTCACAACCACACCCTGGTCAGGAACAGACCCCACATTCCTCCCCACTGCCACCACCTGACAGCCGCAAGCCAGGGTTAATGCCCTTGGGGCTATATGTACCTGTCCTACAGTTATCAGAATCTGAACTGATCAGGTACTGGGCCAGAAGCCAGGGAGCCCTGGAGTAAACACAACTGACAGCTTCCTGTTCCTAAGACACCTAAAATCTAGCAAAGAAGTCAACTGGTGAGCACAGAAGTCAGTCCAGCAAGCAAAGTAATGGGGTCAGGACCAAGCCACAGCTCTGAGCTTGCTTGATGCAGAGAAAATGGGAGAGGTGGGTTAGAGAAGAAAGAGGGATCTGGGCAGAGGAAACACAAAGAAGGTGGAGAGACAGAAGGACCTGAAACCAAGCAGCCCCACCTCTGCAATCCGCGGAACTCCATGAAGATCTTATTGCGCTTGTATTTCATCTTTCCATGAATGCACATTATCTTCACGTTCTTCACTAGGCCCTCCAGAGCCTTCCCGTAGTATTCCACACAGGCACAGGTACTGCATGGGGACAGAGGGCTCAAGAGTGGCCAGAGTGGGCCCTCTGTGGGGACTGGGAGGAGGGTGGGAAGCACCAGCACCACTATCCTGGCCACAACCTAATCCTCTTGGGAGAATGCAGAGAATGGCTCTGAATACCAGTTATGGCTGAGCTGTACACCTGAAGCCCTTACAGCCAAGGAGAAGCCAATCATCTGATTTCTGGTCAAGATTTCTCAAGGTTCTCCTCCTTTCTAAAGATGTTCTGCAGGCCCTCCCAGGTGGCGCAACAGGTTAGGATGTAGCACTGCAAGCTAGCTGCAGCCACTTCGTTGAGAGTTCAATCCCCACCCCAGAGGTGATCCACATGGCGCGGCAGACCTCTCCTGACCCGCCTGCTGCTCCCCTCAGCAGTGTGCTTTGTCAATCTGCCTGTTCTGCTCCCCACTCTGTCTCTGGTTGAATTCTCTCACCACCCCAGCACCTCTGGCCCGTACCCCAGTTCTATATGCATAAATAAATAAATCTTAAAAAAAAAAAAAGTTCTGCAAAGGCATTCTTCCTGGCCCCATGAAAACTAATTAAGGTGCAGGAGTCATTCACATCAAAAACAGTAACATCTTAGATGTAAACAGTCCTAAAAAGTTTCAAAACACTCTTGCTTCCTTTTGGGGGAACTGCATTTTCCCCCAGGGCTCACAGGTTAGCCTCCATTAGAACAGTCAGATTCTCTCAAGGGGGCCAGACTAGAGGTAAGCCCTGAAGTGACAGCCCATCTATTTCTACCCCCGAGTTTTCTAGGGCTCCCCAGTCCCATTTTTCCGAAAGGCTGAGCACTCAACTTCCCCTCTGGGCCTGAGTTTCCTACAGAGCACCCTGACAAAGAGCCTGCCCTTATCCCGCCCCGCTTTATTTGGAGGAGCACCCATGTGATGATCCCAGATGAATGACCTCGAGCTCCGAGCAACAACAGGCAAAGTTAGCATTTCCCCACCCCACCCCAGGCCCAGGGTTGCCCGTGGGGCTGACGCCTCTACTTCAAACCCCCAGCTCAGGACCTGTGTGACTGCCACCAGATGCCTCCCTACGCCATTAGTCCCCTCAATACACAGGCTGTTGCACACTCTGAGAGTTGTACCCCACAGGTCCTAACAGCAATCTCCCTGGTCTTGAAATCAAATTAGTGACTGGGCCAGAACAGGAGTGGAAATTCAAGCCTGGGCAGCTAGTTGAGTACAAGGTTTAGAAAAAAAGTTCCAACTTAGTGCATGAGCAGTACATTTCTAACTGTGGATCAATACAGTTAATAAGTATTATTGTTGGTATAACAGATGGAAAAGAATTTTTTTTTTTTTGGTATTACCAAAAAATACCATGGTGGGTATATATAAAAGAAAAAATCATAGCCCAAAAAGGCAATTTGTGCCCGCATGTTCTGACGACAACACCCCAGTGCAGACACAGAGGTGACCAAACACCTTCCCAGCCACTCCCTCCGCAGCTGCCCCACTGCGGAAGCTGGCAGAGCTGTGCGCTCACTTTCTCCTCCTCTCCTAAGGGAGAATGACCCTCTTTTGGCCCTTAAAATGTAAACTAAAGCCAGCAGGCGGGGTTTGCTCTCTGATACTAAGCAGACACAGAGAAGCTGACACCACCTGAGTCTCCCTCCCTCCGCCTCTGCTCCTGTATCTGTTCTCAATGCAGGCGTGACTGATGTCACAGCAATCCTCTGAAAACTGAGGTGACACACAGGAGGGAAAGGAAAAGTCCACTGCAGAGTGCCACCACGCCAGTGGGAAGGGCCAGCTCCTTGCTGCTCTGCCCGGGAGGGAACAAGCCCAGTGCTGAGCCAGAGGCTGGGTTTCAGTTCCCTGCAGCCAGAAGCACTGGCAGGAGACCCAACCTGGAAGTTCTGAGGCACGTTCTGCTCATTCTGGGTGGGGGAGCCAGACTCTCCTCAGAGCACAAAGGGTTTACCTGAAGAAGATGAGGTGTTTCTCCTGCTTATGGTTTCGAAGAAAATGAACCAGCTGGTTGAATTTTTCATCCGCCTTACAGACCTATAAAGTGGGAAGGAAAACTTAACAGACATACTCACTGACAGTAGCAACCCCCACAGCTATTTTCAGTTTTGGCTCTAAAGTTAAGGAATCTAATTTCCTCAAAGAACAGGACAGAATTTAATCAGAAAAGTGACCCATCTACTTAGCTAAGAGCAAGTGCTGCCCAGGGGGAAAGCTCATCCTCTTAAGTCACAACATCATGTAGCTGTGATAATTACGGTCATTGAACACAGACTCCCAGGTCCCAGGATGCTGACAGCACCGAGCCGGCTGCACTGCCACCTCCAGGGTGGCCTCGTGAAATGCAGATTCTTGGCCACAGCATATGGATTCTGATTCCAACGGTGTAGCAGTATACCCAGAACCTAAGCTAAGTTCCAGGAGAGCCAAAACCTCAGCCAAATTCAGAAAGCACAGCCTCAAGTTGAATGCAAGTTTCCAGAAAGCAATGTATATTTTATTTGAAAAGTCCTCCTGGGGTAGAGACTAGTCTATTAATTACACAATTAAATGCTCTACTCAGGCCTCTATAAAGTTGGAGACACTGACACCCCTGAAGGCACTCCCCATCTTTACCAAAACCTAGCCATTGAGTGAAATTCTGATAGTGCCTCAGAGCCACAGGAGGCCCAGAGTTAAGCTGATGGGCACTGCGCGCTGAGCACACACCTCAACACCTCCACCTGCACTCATCGGTTCATCCTCACACAGTCCTACAAGTGGAGGCCTCCTGGGGCCTCTGTTTTGCAGGTGACAGACTGTGGTAGTCCAATTAGTACAGGACAGAGCCAGAATGCACCCAGGCTGTCTTCCTCCAGGGGCACGCTCAATGCTCCCACAATGGCAGGGCTCTGCCTCCACCTAAACCAGCCTCCCTAACCTCGCTTGGCCCAGCCTTGGCAGAGCCATCAGCTCCCCTTCAGATGAGCCTGCTTGTTTCTAGCAACTTCTCCAGGCACCCAAGCAAGCTCCCGATTTACAGACTCGTTCTGGCCAGCAGCCAACTTCACAGCCCAGAGCACCAAGGACTCGCTGTCTGAAAGCAGGGACTGCTCCTGAACATGTTGTGCGTTCTAAAAGGCGACAGGTTTGCCAAATACAGTCAGTGTCCTCAGAGCCCAGTCATCACTTCTACTACATCACTCACCATGTAGTGGTTCTCCAGGCGGGAGGGGGTTTTCTGGGTGCTGCTGGCTGCCACACCCTTCTCCTTCACTGAGATGCGCACGGGGTTCCGGAGACCAGCCCGCACCAGGTTCTCCACCTCCTGTGTCTGCGTAGCGGAGAAAAGGCCCGTTCTCCTCTGCTTTGGCAAAAACTCCAGGATAGTGTTTATACTGAAAAAGAGGGCTCCATGTTAACGCCTCTCAGAACCACACCGTTGTTAACTGGTGTTTTATACATCTAAACAGGTACATCAACATGCATGAGAAGCCATCACAGCTCTCACAGTAGATAAAACTGGAGGGAAGGTAACAGGCGACTTTGTTGTCCTCTCACTTTCCCAAGGTGTCTCCAATATAAGCAGATAATTAAACTTCCAATGGGGGAAAGAGGGACTGTTAAAAGTGAGTGAAATTAAGATATAAAGTGCCTTGAGACAAAAAACCATGGAACTGTTTACTTCACATGGCTGTCATATCTACACATACATATACATATATGAGAATTACATCCAGTGATGCAGTCTACTAAAAAAGAAACACAAAAACTTGAAAAGAAATCATGCAGGAGGGCCCTCCCTGGTGGCACAACAGGTGAAAGCACAGTCAGTACTACAAAGCTAGCCACAGCCGCTTTAGCACAAGTTCGACCCCTGGCCAGAGAAGTGACCGGCATGGAACAGCAGACTGTCTCACCACAGCAGTGTACTTCGTCAGTTTGCCTGTTCTGCTCCCCACTCTATCTCTGGTGAATACTCTCACCACCCCTACACAGAGCCTGTACTCCAGCTCTGTATGCATAAATAAATACATCTTTTTAAAAACTCATGAAGAAAAGTGCACCTAAGGGTCAAAGGCCTTCTTCCCCTGTCCATACTGGGTGCCACCCGCCCACCTGCCCTCTTCCTTTCCCCCACTGCTGACCAATCCTCAGTCAACACCAAGGGTTTTCTAGAGCTAAAAAGCCCCACTGGCCTCTAGGTGCTCGCTCTGACCTGGTGACATGCATCACCTGACAGGTATCAAGTGCTGCCACAGTGGATGTGGCAGACAGGAAACCATCTCAGCCCACCACCTGCCAGCCTACACCGGCTGTATACAGGCATCATCACACCCCGTGCTGCTGTCTGCCAAGAATAAAGAATGCTTTGGGCAAGTACAGGCCTGCCAACATGGAAGACACCACAGGAAGTGGAGCCACAGGTAGTAAAAGTGATGATGACACTGGCCTCTCTGGCTTAGAGGGACGTGAAGAAGCAGAAAGGCTAGAATGCCTGGTACGGGCCAAAGCCAAGAAAGCCCCAGACCCACATGGTTGCTAATCCACCCATCTTAGATATGGAACCCTGAGCTGACGAGACAGGGCCGGAATAGAGTGTGTCCAAGCAGACATGGGTTAGGCTTCGTCTGGCTTCAGTGGGTATGGAATCAGAAGCCTCAAGTACAGAGTGTGACTGAGGACGACCAGGTGGGCACAGACGGGCTGGAGGAGCAGACCACTGCTTTTGAGGACATGGACACCAAGATCTAAGATCCAATATGGATCCTGCCCTCACAAAAAGCCAGAAAAAAAAAAAATCAAAGAGAAGAACAGCAATGCACATCATGTGCTAGGACACGAGGCTCAAGCAAACGTAATGGTCTGAAACGGAAAGGCAGCCATGATATGAAGAAGACTCCAAGCTGGCCCCTTTTCTTCCAGGGTCTCCCAGAGTCTATGAAGCCAAAAAGCCAGTACCTTGCCTCAAACCCCATGTCCAGAAGTCTGTCTGCTTCATCCAGCACCAGAACATCCAGGGACCGCACACAGCTGGCCAGGTCCAAGCCCTCCATCTTCCTTCGGAACATGTCCTCCAGGCGGCCAGGGGTCGCCACCACAATGTTTCCACTGCAAAAACCAAGTCAACACTCACTGCACCCATAGGAGCGAGCTTTGTAATGAGCAGCTTTGACTGTACCTTCATAAAGAGTCAATACTTCCTGAGTGCTCGCCACGTCCCAGTTATAGGCTGAGTTGACAAGTCATGGAGGGATTATTCATGGTTCCTTGTATCGACATTTGAGGCCCCTCAAGTCATCTAAACTCCAGTGAAAAGAGATGCTGGGAGTGGGTGGTAGAGCTTGAGGCAGGAAAAGCACAGGCTTTGAGGGAGACCTAAGTGGACTTCACGCTAAGGCCCGAGTTGGGGGGCTGGTCAGCACACTCGGCCCTTCCACTTCGGTGACATTATATCAGTATGCAACCACAGCCTTCACCTTAGAGGCACCTGCAGTATCGAGGAGAGCAGTCAGGACAGAGGGCGTGGCCTCAAAGCTCAAACAGTTACCATCTGGTCCTTTAAGAAAAGGGGCTTGCTCTCACCGCCCCTGCACCTCTGGCCTGTACCCCAGTTCTGTATGTACAAATAAATAATTAAAAAAAATTAAAAAAAAAAGAAAAGGGGCTTGCTGACTAGAGCCAAGTTACTCAACTGCTTTAACTCATGTGTAAAATGACACTGAACAGATTTAGCAGTGATTTTATGTAACACTGGCAAACTGACAGACAAAAGGCCAAATATGACCTCCACAGATTGGCTGGCTGGCAAGCCATTTTTCTTAAAATGTTAATGACATGCCAGACACTGAAAAACTTGGCAGAAAAACACACAGAAATTTTGAATTCCATAGTCTTTTTTAAAAATTCACAATCTGGGCCCTCCCTGGTGGTGCAATACTGTGAATCTATCTGCAGCCACTGCAACACAAGTTCCATCCCAGCCAGGGGGCGACCCTCATGGCGTGGCAGACCTGTCCTGCCTGCTGCTCCCTCAGCAGAGCATTTCAGTCAATCCAACTGTTCTGCTCCCTACTCTGTCTTGTGAATCCTCACACCTCTGGCCTAGTACCCCAGTTCTTGTATGCATAAATAAATAAATCTTTAAAAAAAAATTCACAATCTGGCCTCCCTGGTGGTGCAAGGGGTTAAAATGCAGTGCTATGAAGCTATCCGTGGCCACTGCAGCCTGAATCCAATTCAGGCCAGGAACGTGATCCACATGGCACAGCAGACCTCTCCTGTCTCACTCACTGCTCCCCTCAGCAGTGTGTTTTAGTTGATCTGTCTGTTCTGCTCTCCACTGTCTCTGGAGAATCCTCTCATCCTATCCCTCGTCCACACACCTCTGGCCTGTACCCTAGTTCTTGTATGCATAAATAAATCTTTTTTTAAAAAAAATTCACAATCTGCCATGACTGAGCCCAGAGTCCCGAAAGGCAACCACAGCTGAAGAGGCAGTTCCCTCACTCCCCTCCACACCCTCTGAGCCCTGCAAGAGCTGGCACTTGAGACCCATCAGCTCATCTTGTAGCTGGGACGTGGTGAGCACTCTCTTTACGAAGGTACAGTCAAAGCCGCTCACTACGAACCTCGCTCTTAGGAGACTGAGGACGTCACCACATACAGATACCAGTGTTGGTAAGATCCCGCTATGCACTCAGCAGTGTGCCCAGTGTCCAGGAGGACCAGAGACTCATAGGCACTCCAAGAGTGACTGATGATTGGCAAACTCCACATGAGATGCAGGTTGGGACAATCTCAAGCCTCACCTGTTTTGGAGGTATTCACTAGGGTGTGAGGCCTCAGGGAGATGCCAGGCAGACAGTGGCATCTGCGCATGTGGCACTCAGGGTCAAAACAGAGGGACGAGCCCATTTAGGAGCCAGAGTGGGAAAAGAAAGGCACTTAAATCCCATCTTCCTCCTGAGAAAGTGGGGGAGCCACATCCTATCTCACTTCACAGCAGGAAGACTCCAGGGAAAGGCTGTTCATCTGGCTGTGTGAGAAGGAGTGGGAGAGCAAAGTTTCAGGTTGGCCTGGAGAAAAGACCTTTTTAGGAGGAAGAGGGGAGTTTCCAGCCAGGTCTAGATCATATATCAATTGCTCTTGGCTAGTGCCAGAAGCAAGCAAAGAGGAGCTGAGACCAGCAAACTCACCCATGTTCCTTAAACCTGGCAACATCGTCAGCTGGATTCCGGCCTCCAATCCAGAGAATCTGACTATAACAAGAAACAGGGCTGTGAGTGCACGGGGCAGGACACCAGGCCAGGGTTCCCGAGGTGACTTACCCACTTACCGGAATTGGGGGAAGGGCTTAGTGAAATGTGCCAAGACCTCATCTATCTGCACAGCCAGCTCCCGCGTAGGTGTGATAATGATGGCTCCCACCTGCCCGCAGAGAGGACACTAAGCAGTTCCAAGGTTGTACAAGGCCCAACACACACACCCGTACCCTGCACCACACACAGGCACAGTCCAGGCCAGTTGCGCTCCCTGGCTGTGCATACCAACCACTGTGATTTATAGTCAATGCTCATTATTCACAGCTGTTGTGTCCTATGACTTGGCCACAAACTCAGGGTCAGCAAATGGGACCCTGCTCTGGAGGAATATACGGGATTAGGGTCCTACCAGCCTCTGGTCACAACCCTTTTACCAAGAGATCAGTACAGCACCATTTTAATGTGTTTCTGCCTAAAGACACCTTATTTGATACAGTGGACTCATTAACATTAAATTTGTGACCAACAGCCTTGCTGTTCCTCCCTGAAAGAAGCTCATGGAATATGCTTCTGTGATAAGCCTCTGACAGAAAGCCCATGCCCCCACCTTCCTGTGCTCGGGAAAAACAAAGAACTTGGCAGCGAGAAGCCTGAGAGAGGGACCCTGTTCAGTGTGGGCACTGCAAACAGACATCAGGGTGTCGCCTGTTCAAAGGCAACTGGGAACGTAAGCACAGACTGGGGAACACTTAGTAAGCCTTAACAAGTAGGCAAATTCACAAACACAGACTCACCAGTCATGAGGACACTTTTTTCACACTTCTGATCAGCTTCTTGATCGACTGAACTCACAATGACCAAGTAAAAAAAAGTCACTTAGCTTTCCTCACCTGATTCTTTTTTAACTTCTCTTCCCTTCTCAGAAGAATTTCCAGGATGGGGATGACAAAGGCTAGTGTTTTGCCACTCCCCGTGACCTGCAAAGGGGGAAGTAGCACTGGTTGGCAGCTTGTTTTGGAGGGAAAGCATGAGGACAGGCTGCAACGGCCAGGTACTCACCGCTTCTGCCGCGACATCTTTGTTCTTCATGAACAGAGGGATGGTTGCAGACTAGAGAGAGAGATAGCAAAGTACCATTAGACATGATCCCACAGCTGTGGCCACAGTCCTGGGATGCACAGTGGCCCCAGTGGCCTCCAGCAGGAAGCGGACTCTGAGCAGGGTCGCCAAGGTCCCCGAACAGACTGGCACACAGGTATGTGACCTGGTCTGCATAGCCGGCAGGAAGAAAGGTGAGCTAAACAGGGAACTGGGAGTCCTGAGTTCTTAGTACTGCCTTGCCAATTTTCTCTAGATTGCCAACTCTGGTAGCAGATGTGGGTCTCCTTGACATTGATCTATCAAAGGCACGGCACACAGCATTGCCAACTTTACCTTCAGCCTTGCCTGCTTCCTCTACCTCTCTCCTAGGGTTCTTGTGGACATCTCAACTCAACATTCCCAACATTTCTCTTGATTTTCCCTCTGAAACCTTTAACCTGCTCTCCCTCCTTCCCACCTTCCTCATCTCAGTAAGTGGTACTGCCACCCACACAGCTGCTAAGGACAGACACCTCAGTGCCGTGCCTCTAGATTCATCTCTTATCACCTCCACATCCGGTCCCTCAGTAACCCAACCCTTTCTCAAACTTGACTTTTCAAAATCCAATGCTTCCTCTCTGCTTCAAGCCACTAGCATCTCACTCAACAGTGGCCTTCTAACTGACCTTGCTTCTACTCTTCCCCATCAAAAGCCCGTTCTCTACACAGCAGTCACTTCACCCTAGGATGCTCTCCATATAAGATGGGATCTCCCCAGTTAGAAAAAAATCCAAGCTACTCCACGGTTCAGCACCTGATTTGTTCCTCCCTTATACCGCCCAGGGTGTTCCAGCTACAAAGGCCCTTCTTTCTGTTCCTGCAACTCAAATCCAACCTGGAGGCATTTGCACTGGCATTTCCCTCTGCCAGAACATCCTGGCCCCAGTCATCACACAGCCTGCTCATCCAGATATCAGCTCAATGATTCAATGACACCTCAGAGGTACCTTCCCTAATGTCACACCTTGCCTCCTCTCCTGGACCTTGTCACTGTTGCATCAGTCTGTTTCAATTCCTTCAAAGAAAACAACTGTCACCAGGTAAAATGTTTGCTGCCCTCTTTTCTCCCTCAGCCACCTTAGAATATAAGGCCAACAATGAGTGGCAACTAATACTGTAAAATCCCCAGAACCAAGAATACCTAACAAAGTATGTCCACAACAGATACCTCTTGACTAAATGAATACACTAAGCTAGGACATTTTACTGAGCCCATATGGTAATAACAACAGAAGGCACCACTTTTTGAGCTCCCATAATGAGTCCCAAACTGTCCTATGGTAGGTTAATGCCATTTTCCACGTTCCATACGGAAGGGAAACGAAGCTCAGTAACGTTAAGACATTTGCCCGAGGTCGCACAGCTAGAGGGGCAGGGGCAGGATCTGAACTGGCGCGGAAGCCCCCAATCACCCAAGGGCGGGCAGAGGTGAGTGAAGACCCTGGCCCGAGTGCGCGGCCGCCTGGAGTCCCCACCAAGCTCGGTCACTGACCAGTGAGCCGTCCCTGGAGTCCGGCGGCGTGGCGACCACCCTGAGGCTAACGGGAGATGTGCTAGGCCCAGGGTCGAATGCACATCTCACACGCACCCGCCTTAGCGAACCGAAGCAAGCCCGGGCCTGCTCTCCCCGGCCGGCCTGCTCTCCCAGGCCGCCGGGCATGGAAGTCCCACCTCACCCGCGACAGCGCCAGTACCTGCACCGGCGTCATGTGCGGGAAACCCAGCTCCCGCAGCGACCCCAGCACCCGTGGGTGCAGCCTCACGGGCAACGACTCCCAGGACCCCTCCGTCACGTGCTCCATGGCTCGCCCCGCCGCCGCCACAGCCCGCGGGCGTCTACCAGGGGAGCCGCCAGCGAGCACTTCCGCTTCCGTCAGCCGAGCGGGCCGGCCGGCAACTGGGCTTGCGCGGCCGAGTTCCGGGAAGCTGGGAAGGTGCGCGCGGCGGGAGGCGGGAAAACCGACGGTGGGAGAGATGGAGCGGGCTGCGGCGGCGGCCGGGCAGGGGACCCTAGCCGCCCTGCGCCGACTCAGCTCGGGGCGCCTCCGCGACCGAGCGGGCTTGGCGACGAAGGGGATCTGCCCGACTACCCCACTTTCTGCCTCTTGGAGGCAGGTGGCAGCAGAACTCCGCCTAAGGCCAACGGGCCGGGAGAACTGAGCAGAAGTGTCGGGATCCCAGGTTAGAATCCTTTCGGGGTGGAACTCCAAACCCCGCACGCTATGCATACTGTTTACTATACATCCGAGGACGTCATGGCCAAGAGTTCAAGTGTTCGCCACTGGCCTGGACCAGTCATTTGCCTGCGCACATTCATTCAGCAAACATCTACCGATCACTGCAGAGGTGTGTCTGGGAGTTCGGGTCTTCGGCAGCGGGCGTGGTTGCTCCATCGGGCCTTTCAACTGACTTCTTGGACTGCCTTCCTTCCCTAATCATTAAAGCTTACCCTGATTTTCCACCATAGCGCGTCTATCAATATGCCATAATTTACTCTTTTGAGGTTCATCTCGCCCACTGGACTTTCCCCTGTACCTTTTATCCCAGTAGTTACAGCAGGTATAGCAGCTCAAATATTTCGGAGATGGATAAATGGAAATAGTATCAGTGCAGACTGGTGAGATCAAACCACAATGGATAGGCCTGTGGTGATACATTTTTATTTGCACTGAAATAGGACTATGACATCCTCAAAAGCCTTTGACAACTGTTTAAAATGGGACTTCCAGACAGCTCTGAAAGCAGAGGCAGAGTGCATCTTGCCTCTGCATTTTAGGCTCTACTAGTTTTCTGATTTGAGAACCATTTCCAAGCCTGTTTATTTCCAAATTGAGAATTTAAAAAACACCTGAGGTCATGGTGGTTTTAAAGAATAGACAGACCACTTGAATAGCTCAGAAGCACCCTGGGACACTAGCAAGTGCTGATAAACAATAGCTTCTTTAAATTAACAGTGTCCTTAGGGCAAAGGAAGTGGGTTTAATTGCTGGTTTCACAAATCACTGCATTTGGGAGCCTTGGAATCATTTATTTCTCTTCAACTTACTTCCCACATCCATAAACCAAGTGGTTGAGTGAAAATAATGCAAATATTTTTTCCAAAAGATGGGAAATTTACTATATTAACACTGACCTATCTAAAAGTGTGTTCTCAATTGCTATCCTCATGTTTATAGACAAGTAAGACATTTATGGCAGGCATAATTACTCAAAAAAAATGGACATGTCTCATTTCAAATATGGAAAATTGATATTTAATTGTGAATTAATATATAAAACACAAAATACTAGGATTATTTTTTAAAAGAATTGTTTATTTACTGAACCTGGGGCAGATTAGATACACAACCAATTTTAAATTTACATCTTTTAATTCAATTGTGAAGTGTTTCTCACACACACACATTGGCATGCAACAGCTGTCCTAAGGTAAAAGTCACTTTAAGCTGTTGCAAGTATTTTCACCCAAGGTTGAAAAATTGTTTATCCTGAACATGAAAACCTGTAACAAATTTAAATTAAGTATATAAAACTCGTTACTTGTAGTTTTCCCCTTGCAAAGATCCAAAAAAAAATGTACAAGTAACTAATATACATCAGTCACAACATAATCCTGGATCATCCCTATACCTAAACCAGATGCTCCTTTAATTTTAAACCCATCATCAGAGACCGAGAGAAAGCCATTTCGTTTTATACAAAACAAAATTCACATGTGCCAAAAAAGAAAGACCTAAGAAAAACAAAAACAAAAACCCTATACTGACAATATGGGTCAGTACCCCAATTGAACAGTGGCCCAAATGCCACTGATCAGAAATAAAGTAGTGGCTGTATTTTCGGCAATTAAATCCAAGAGGCTTTAACCCTTTGGCGTCAGAAATCCAGATTTTTCCAATTACATGAATGCATACCTCCTGTGTGCCAAGAGTGGAGAAAGTGGATGTGGCAGCATAGAAAGAACAAATTACCATTCACTGAAACAACCAGAGAATAGAGACTGGTTGTAATAGAGACTTCTATTATTATGTAGATACCAAAAAATGGTTATTACTTGCTTGTGTCATCAATTTAAATGTGGAGGTGATCTGAATCCAACGATTCAAAGTAAAAACTTAGGGGGAAAAAGTCATTGGGTTGCCTTACCTTTAAAGCAAAAACAAAATAAAATATAAAAGTACCAACCTACTAGCATACTCCAAAGTTCAAGAGCTGTGCCATTAGACTGGACAGAAATGCCAAGATCCTCTCATAAGGATTCAAAAGAATGAATCTTTAATGACCTGAACTACAGACTAAGGGCTCCAAAGAAAGCAATCGCCTTAGTAAGGTACTACTGGTAGAGTCCTGTGCTAAACAAACTGCACTGCATGAAAACAAAAGGGAAAGAGGATAGAATAAGGACTGTATGCCTCGATTTCATTTACAGTGTTGGCATTCTGGAAGGACCTGTAAATGGTGGCAGAACTTAAATAGGATATTACGCCAATCAAATGTCAATTTTTCACTATAACTTTCCTAAAAAGGTATCTTCCCCCAATATCTATTAATCACAAAGAAACATATGCTGTGAATGTACAGTTTGGAAAATTAAAACGTAGAAACTAATGACATTATTATGAGCAAAATGTTTGGTAAACAGTAAATCATGAGTTTGGGATCATCAGGAAAAGGCTTTTTAAACAACCCTCCGGACTTCAAAAAATCTCTTCAGGTAGTAGATCTGTCCCAATGTCATGGCAACTAGAACAAGAGCTTCAAAGAAGGACCAAAGGACCACTCTGCTGTTTGTGTTGTCGTTGACTGTGAGGACAAACAAATAAACAAAATTTAACAAACACCCCCCACAAAAAAAAAAAAAAACCACATAGGCATCACAAACAATCCTCTAGTCTACAAATGTACACCATTTACAATATTCCCCTTTTATCCCCTCAAGCATCTCAACATTTAGAAGTAAAAAATTGTAGATTTCAATCTGCTTAAGTATGGGGACAGGGAGTGAGTGACCTGCCCAAGATTACAAATCTCAGGCTAAACCCAATACAACTTTCTCCCTCACCACTGAAATGCCTCTACATTATAATCCTTTTTGCTGAATCAGAAAGTTTGACTGAAAAAAAAGATTTATTTTTTAAAGATTTTTATTTATTTATACATGCAAGAACTAGGGTGTAGCCAGAGGTGGGGGGAAGGTGGTTAAGAGGATTCACCAGAAGAGTGGGGAACAGAACAGGCAAATTCACTAAAATACACTAAGGAGACTGCTGCATCATGTGGGTCAGCTCCCTGGGTGGGTATTGAACTCAAGCCACTGTGGCTGGCAACAGCATCATAGTAACCCCCTACATTATCAGGGAGCCCCAAAAGAGATAAGATGAGAGTCACCCAAAAAGCACTACCTACAATTCAAACTTTGTTCAAGAATTTTTTTCATTAAATATTATTCAACAAATATTTATTAGGCACCTACTATGTCCTTAGCATTTATTTCAAACAGGGGAAGTTCCTCGGCTTCATGGACAAACATTGGCAGTTACCACCAGACACACGAATGCTAGCCTCAGGATTTATCCCACTTTTAAGTTAAAAATCTGATCCTTAAAGTAACACTCATGGCTATTCATTATTCTGAAATTTTCCAACCACATTCTATACTTAACTTTTTAAAATTATTAGTCTGATTCACCTGCAAATGGTCAATATTAAAATTAGTGACTGTCAGTTGAGTAAGTTTTTGCCTGCCATATATGTATACTATTTATTAAAAAATTAACTGAAACTGTAATAGTGGACAGGTGATCACACAAAAATAAGTGAAAAACAATTACTGTATTTCCAAGAGAATAATTTAGAGTACACAAAAAAGTAAAAAAAAAAAACTTTTCCAGAAAAAGAATAAACATATGCCCAGCACATATGTCTAAAAACCATCAACATTAAAATTTCAGTGCTAATTAATAATCAAGGCATGAAGTTTACTTCTACTGAAAACTCAGTAATCAATGCCAAGCAAAACCATGAATGACTATCAAGCTATCGCCAGTCACTGTAGTTGAGTTCGATCCCCACCAGGGAGTTGACCCACATGGCACAGCAGACCTGTCTTGTCTCACTCACTGCTCCCCTCAACAGTGTATTTCAGTTAATCTGCCTGTTTTGCTCCCCACTCTGTGTTTGGTGAATCCTCTCACCCCACCCGACCCCCACCTCTGGCCTATACTTTAGTTCTTGTATACATAAATAAATCTTTTTTTTAAAAAAAGTATTTTATCTCTCCATTTAGAAAAAAAAATTTTTTTTTTCAAGCTTAAGCAGAACACACAGACGTAATAGCAGAGGAGGGTAGGCACATGGGGAGCTGTCGATATATGAGACTATCTTCATGCCCATTCACCAATCAGCCTGATCAAGAAGCAACACAATAGTCACAATATCATTACAACACTGTAATATTAACCAAAAAAAGGGGCTGGTGGGACCATTCAGTTCATAGCTGGTGTGAATGCTGTAAGAGGTACCAAACACCCACGTTGTAGGCACTATTTGATATGCAAAATTAATGCCAAAATTCCATTTTGTAAGCGAAATATTGGAATATCTCTGCTCAAATTAAGGGGGAGAGAATAAGGTTGAGCATTCCCACAGCTTGGAAGAACAGTGTGCTTCCTCTTCCCAAAAACCTCCTCTACCTTTAAAGCCACTCAGTCCGAAGTAGTTAAAACTGCCAGGGAAGTCCTGGGTCCTCAGACTTTGTCCAGTACTCCCACTCCAAAATGGGCTGGCCCCCACCTGGGAGCAAGAGAGCCAATAAATAGGTCCCTGCTAAGTGAGGGAGAAATGGCAGAGATCCCAGAGGAGTTCTAAAGTGGCAGAATCATGATGGAAAAGGCAGGGATGGGTTTACAAGCCTTAGTCCATCTCAAATCCTGCCACCACCCCCAAAACAGGAAGAACAGAGATGCTTCTCTAATCTTCATCATACTCTCAAAGGGAGGTGAAGTCTGTGCTCTAGGTCTTGAAGAATCATCTCTATTAGTGGCAAGAATAGACATGAGAGGTAAGAACAGAAACCACATCCTTTGCTTGTCTCTTTGAGCTGTTCTCTCTACTCCCTACCCCAACCTTAAGACAAAGATTCTTCTTTTTAAAAAAAGATGTATTTATTTTTGCATACAAGAACTGGGGTACAGGCCAGCGGTGCAGGTGTGAAAGGATTCACCAGAGACATAGTGGGGAACAGATTAGGCAGACTGACTGAAATACACTGCTGAGGGGAACAGCAGGCAAGACAAGAGAAGTCTGCCATGCCATGTTGATCACCTCCTTGGCCAGAGATCGAACCTGTGCTTGCAGTGGCCTCGGATAGCCCACTGCGCCACAGGGAGGGCCGCAGGACAGAGATTCTTAACATAAACAACTTGCAGTAACAGACAAGCTTGCTCCACTGAGAACTATCCCTCAAAGAACTACTCATAACTGAGGAGTGCTTTAGGAAGAGTTACCAAAAACATTGTATGACCTATTTGATACGCAAAATTAACCTTAATAAAGATTAAGACACTGAACAGCTATGGCCCATGTGTCTGCATGATGCTGGTGATTATAAATGAATGCACACTATATACTCCCAGCATCTGAACTTGGGAGGACCCAAACTAATCTTTACCTGTTGGGTACCTATGTCCATATTTTAGTACCTTCTATTTTCACTAGACTAATCCTTAAGTTTTAGTGAAAAAGCTAATGTCAGCATACTAACATTTAAACACGCTGGCACAAAGTTTCAGACAGGTGATAAAAAAATCAACAAAATGCCCATTTTACCAATTTTTCTTTTCTGTTTTAAGAAAACTATTAGTTTATTTCTTAGCTAACCATATAATTTTAAAGATTCTTAAAAACTTGTACTGAATCTTAATAGCATTTTTTGGTTCCAAATGAATGTCCTACAATAAACTAATCTAGTACAAAGCTCTACAAAAGCATACACTCAAAATATATTTGCACAGATGCTCTTTAAATAATGCTTTGGTATGATTATGCTTGCAAAAGCTCCAAATAAGGAGAACACAAGCGAGACCTTGGCCCTGTGACTATCACCATTCTGCAGTGACCAAAGGCACTGCTGCAAAGGGAAAGCACTGACTTACTGGCTCTGTGTATTCTCTCCCGGACTTCCATGTACTCCTGTTCATGCTTGACAGCTGTCATTGCCACTGCTAGTTCATTAATCATTTCTTCTAGCTTGTTCTGATGAGCTACAGAAGAATTTGGAAACAGATCAGCACATATTTGGCAATACCCTTTTGAAAGATACTTACAAAGCAATAAAAACAGTCCGCAGAGAAAGCATATAAAAGTAGTTATTTTTAGTAATGGACTGGACATCATTGTGGGCCAACATATAACACTAGTGACAACTCTCCAAGCATGTTTTAAGGCCATTCCCAGTATTTTAAGATAAAATAAAGCAAAAACCCTAGTAATATCCTGATAACAATCTTATAAACAATAGTATTTATTTTTGTTCTTTTTTCTTTTTTTAAAGAATATTTAAGATCTAAGTCTACCTTAGACCACCCAAGGTTTTAAAATTAAAACCAGGTTTAAAACTTTAGCAAAAAAAAAGAAGACAGGCAAACTAACAGTTCTGAAGAAGCGGATATTTCTAGCTATTTTAATATGACAATGAACAACTAGGGAGGAAAAACATATACCATAAGGAAAGAGTCCAAGGGAAGGGTTTCTTCACCATTGCCAAAAATAAGACCTCATTTGGAATTCCAAAATGCCACAAATATCTAAATTTTTAAAGAAATGCCAAGCATTCCTACCATTTTAAGGTAGCTGGGTTAGAGTCTTATCACCTCTTACCAACTTCACTTCAAAAACCCATCATGTACATGAAACGTACAGAGAGCATGGATTCTCAGTTGCCATGTTGGACCAAATAACCCTGTTGTGTGCTGTCTGATGTAGTGCAGGATCACAGCCCAGCCTTGAGAATCATAAATGTCTCATCTCACTGAAGAACCACCGCTCTTTTAGAGGAAGGTTTCAACTGCCAGCTACCAGTCACTGACATTAACAAGCAAAAGCAAGAATTTTAGATATTGTGTTAAAGAATTAAGGACAATTCAACATTCACATTCATCAGCCACATTTTCTAACAGTTTAGAAAGAACTAATTTCCAACAGTAATTAATTAGCAAATTAACAGAACAAACATCCCACACATGTAACCTACATGCTTACAAGAAGGGACACACAAAGCCCTCCAAAAGTCCTCATTCTCCTAGAGTCAATCCCTACACTGTAAACAGCCCTGAAAGATGAGCATCAGAATTACTAAGCAGCATACAAATTCTATAAAAGAGGCTAATTTTAGTAATGTATTAGACATCTATGTCCAAACACTTCACCTTCTTTTTGATATAAGTGTGCTACAAATTACTCAACATCTAGGACAAACGTTATTATGTCGACACTATGAAATATGTTCAACTGCTACTTTCCAAAAATTCTGCCACTCAGTGACTATCAACAACAAATCCAAATGAGCTGGCTCCTGTAAGTAACTTATCCAGAAGAATCATTTGCTGGTCAGATGAGGGGAAAAAAACAATCTAACTGCAACATATGCTGACAGTTTTTGTCACCTTGTTTAGTCATGACTCCTAGAACTGCATTTCATATCCAACCAGTTTTAAGAAAGAAAAATGCAGTAATAATAGGACACTTCTACTTTCTACTAAGTCAACAGCACCACTCACTATTAACTATTTTAACTGGGACTTACCTATCTAGTTATAGTTGAACTTTCTACCCTTCAGCATTCATCTGTCACTGTATTCCCAGTGCTATCAACTTAAAATGACCTCATCTATACCTTCTGTTAGTTAAAAAAAAAAATCATTCGAAAACCTAATCAATGGTAGGATTTATTTTTTTAATTAATAGAAGAGACACTCTCATGCTAACAGATTAGAAAGGAATGCAGAAATTAGACAGTAACAAATAGAAATATCAAAAAAAAAATCAAGATGCTATCAAAAAGCAATCGACATACCATCCCAGGTGTCTCCACCACCTAAAGGAAAGTGTAAGATATAAACACACACACACAAAAACAGAAGTTTAGCTAAACTAGGCACAAATACAAGTGAACAAAAAAGGATATATTTACCCATATGTATGTATACATCAAGATAAGTGAATAGAACAACCAAAGTCACATGTAACCTACACACTTACAAGGAAAAAAACTACAAAGAACTGAAATATAAACACAAATTTCCAGAAACTTTGTTGTTAATTATGAGATTTGGAGAAGTATGTATTTCACAAAAGGACTGGGGTTTTAAAGACAGAACTAGTATTAACCCTTTGAATGTAACCTCAATTTTCTGTATGATCGTCTCACCTTCTGTTTCCATGTCCTGTCCTTTTGGGGCTTCCCCAATATCAATGGTGAACATCACGATCTTTGGAGTCATGGTAGACATCCGGTTGCTGAAACAAAACTTGTACGTTCCATCCATGTGAGCAGCAAATGTATATTTCCCACTGGACTCCCGGTCTCCTTTGTAAATTCCTTTATTATCAGGCCCTGTAATCTGGAGGCAGGAGACATCAAGAAAAATGAAAATCATAAACTTTCTAAGGATGCTCATAGTATTAGGATATTCATGTAACTTTTACTTCAATTAGTGACAGAACCCTTTGTGCTACAGCCCTGCCATGTGGGGAACAAGGGTGGACACTAGGGTCTCTCAACTCTTGACTGTCTTCTTTGTCCCACACAAATATAAAACCCTCAAAAATAGAAACTACACTTTACACTGTTTCCAAGGGGCCTACTACCACCCACAAACATGTAGGCATGTGCCTGGTAAAATCAAAACAAGAAAAAAAATCTCTTTAACACTAAGAATGCTGATCAGACTACATTCCCTAGTTGACAAATGCCAACTAGTGAAGGAATCCGCTTTATGTGAGATGACTGGAAACTTATGGGAAAGGAGTAGACTGTAAAGCAGGAGATCAGGTTCTCATCACATTGGCTACAAATCAGCTGCTAGTCCAGTCACCTTGAAACTTCAGAGGCTGGGATTGTTGAGCTTGGAGATTTTAGCCAATTTTAAGTCACTCCTATCCATTATCCCTTTATTTTTTGAACTTCACTTGTTTGGTATAATTTGCATTCAGCTCTACTGATATTCATCACCAATCAAAAAAATCCTTAAACCTAGTTAATAATGCTACCAAGAAAATTTAAATATTAATGACATCTGCTTTCCTAAAAATGCTACAGGCAAATCCTTCTTCTGGTTTAAAAGAAGATTCAGGAACAGCTGGTTTCTTAAATCTCCCCCAAATACTTCACTGCAATTATTATCCTCAAAATGCATCACCCCACCCCACCTCTCTCCTAATGATTCAACGAGAGGGCTGCGGATCTGTGTAAAAAGTGGTGACAGCACAAGGGTGAACTGGTGATGGGACGTCCACGGGGAATGCAACTGAGATGGGAAAAGGCACAAAACGATGTAAAAATAAACTGTTACAGTAATAGTATGCAAAGCGCTGTTGCCTCTATTAGAAATAAATACACCAAGGAATGCCTACGTAGCATTCCTCAAAGGCTTTCGCTACACTAGTTCCAAAGTTTCCATGCCACGTTCCAATACTATCAGTAACATGAAGGGATGCAGGTGCTGCACGCATCCAGTCCTGCCGTCAGCTAACCGCGACCGATGAGAGCAGTCTGGGCCCGCGGCTGACACGCGGCTCCGGGTCGACAAAACTCGGTGAGAGGTTCCGAGGAGTCCTCCCCCATCAAGCAGAGAACCCAAACGACTAAAGCAACGGCTCGGTATCCGAGGGGACCCCGCCGTCCGGAATCCCGACGGGCCGCGGCGCGCCGGCCGTTAGGGGGGCTGCTGGAGCGGGGCGCGGCCCGGGCCCCTCCCAGACCCAGGACTGCCGCCTCCGGGCCCTGGGTCCCCGCCAGCCCCGCGTGGGTCCAGGGAGCCACCAACCCCCGAGCAGCCGCACTACCGCGCCTCGGCCGTGGGCAGCGCGCCCGCACCTCCACGTCGATGTCCAGGAAGCCGCCTTCGGCCACCTCGAAGATGAGGCCCATCTTGGTGCCCGAGGTGACCCGCTCGAAGAAGCACTCCTCGGCGTGCGCGTCGATGCTGACAAAGTAGCCCGAAGCTGTGGCCAGGAGAGCGGCCAAGAGCACCAGCAGCTCAGCGAGCGTCACCATGGTGGGGCTGGGGCCGAAGCCAGGTCCGGGAGTGCGGCCTCCAGAGCCGCCGCTGCCACCACTATCTCCTCAGCCGCCGCCGCCTTAGCTCCGCCCCTTCCGGCTGCGCCACCCGAGGGGGCTGATGCGGGCGCCGCGGATTGGCTGGCCCCGGCCGCTGCCACGTAACGGACGCACGGCGGCTGCCGAGGGACACGGGCGGCTCCGCAAGACTCCATGCCAACGGTGGCTCGGAATGACCAAACATCCTCGCCTCATCCGTCCACTTTGGGGTGCATCGTGAATCTTGCCCGGGCCACACCCAGAAAACAACAGCATCAAGAAACCGCCTCTTCCAAGGGCGTTGCCCTCTTAGCGTTGCACAGAAAGATAATGAAAGATTTGGAGGCCGCACAGGGAGTAGGGGGATTGGAGGGGGACAGTAGGTGGGGGCTGTTTTATATAGACCAGTGAGGCCGGCGTTAGTCGAGCGCTTTCCGCCCCCGGCCCCGCAGCCGCTGTATAGCTGGTTTTCCCCCCACGTTACCCCAGCACAGCTGCCATTCAAAAAAGGAAACTCCAGACGTGAAGAAAGTCCCAAGTTTTAAATCGCGCGCCCTCCCAGCGGAGGACTGAAGTCTCGCGCGCCTGGCCCGTGAGCGAGGCCCAGCACCTTCCATCGTCAGTGTCGGCGCCTCTTACGCTGCTGGTGGTGCACCGGCTTGCAGTCCCGGCGCTACGGGACTCGAGTCCGCCGGCTTGCAGTCCCGGCGCTACGGGACTCGAGTCCGCCGGCCGGGCTCCCGTCACCCTCCTTCCCCTAACCGTGGCCCCAAAGCACAGGAGCCATTCGAATGTACCAAAGAGGAGTCAAGTGTCCCTTTAAATAAAAAAGTGAAAGTTCTCTACTTAATCAGGAAAGAAAAAAAATCTATACGAGGTCTTCTATCCGTGATACAGAAAGAAAACGAAATTAATGCTAGTTTTGCTGTGGCGCCACAGTTTGCAAAAGTAACAGCCACCATGTGTGGCAAGTGCTTGGTTATGATGAAAATGTCATCAGGTAACAGGGTGGTCCCCAGGAAAAGGGAAAGTTCCAGGTTCCCTGACCCACCCAGAAGGAGGGTGGAGTTGAGCAGAGAGGAGAAAGAATCTGAGGAGGAAGGTGCAGGATGAAGAGCCTGAAGGAGACCTGAGGAAGCCACATGGAGCAGGGAGACATGTGAAGAAACCGTGCTTGTTTCTTGGCCCTGTGCTGGTTAAAACAGATGTGGGTGAGAGACCCTTGGGGAGGTGACTATGGCAGCGTTTATCTTGGTTTTGATTTTGCTCTTTTCCTCCCAGACCTGTCTGACCCTTCCTGACCCTTTTCTATGGGTCCCAGCCAGAAGATGCTTTGGACTCATGGGGGGCTTTCAGGTCTTGCTTTGGGCCAGTCCCTTTTGGGTGGACTTTTGCCCACGAGGGGATGGGTAACTTCAGGTGTTTGATTTAGAAATTATATTCTTTTTCTTCTGTGTTGTATACTCACTGTATTAAAGTCCCTTTCCATTAAAGCTCTTATGTCTTGTATTGATGTGGTGGATGGCAGAACCTATTTAGAGCACTCAGGTTTGGGGGTGCAGAGGTGCCCTCCTCTCCCTGCAGGATATGAAGAGAAAAAGTGTCTATATGGATGCAACCTGTTAGGCTAGAAAGCTGTGAGTCTCTATGAGGACCTCAGCATGGGAGCTCCTGACTCCCATAAGTCACTTACTTATAGGAAGGGATGATTACACGGATTCAGGAAGAGATTTGGACTGAGAAATAAATGACTGGAGAGGCTGCATCTCCCAAGGAAGCAGCTGCAGCCACGTTTCCAGAGGAGGTGAAGAAGTCGATGAACGTGAAAGGGTACCATCCAAAGCAAGTCTTCAATTATGATGAAGTTGAGTTCTGAAAGAAGATGCCCAAAAGGAGCTACCTTCATAAAAGTGCCAAGGAGGCTCCAGGGCATAAAACATAGAAGGACAGGTTAACTCTGGTTCTCTGTGCCAACACTGCGGGGTGCAGCCTGAATCCTGGTGAGGTAGAGGAACCTAGGAAAGACCACAGAGAAGTGTTAATAAGTGCTGAATTGGAAACACTCATTGAGTCATCTTGAAAGGAAGAAGAAGACTTAGAAGAAACTGAAGCAGAACTAGCAATGAACGTGTTGCCGATATTTGCCCAAGTAGTTCAGATTGCACAGACATTAAAAGACAAAAGCATGGAATATGATCCTTGAACAGAATGCAGCGTTAAATTCACCCACACATTCACCAAAGGATTACAACCTTTACAGCAATTCTTTGACAAGTTAAAGAGACAACAACTTCCTATTACTGTGTTCCTCCAAAAGGATTCAGAAAAAAAACAACTCTTAGAGGGTCCCCCAGTCATCAATGTCATATGCTCCTGATATGCACCCATGGAGGTCCTCTTGACTGTGTGACCAAGGGTTGCCTGAAGCAGGTGATCCTCCTGATAACAGGTCAGGTCAGTAGGAGCCTAAGACCACAGCATGACATCTATGCCATACTGAGCCCACCACACCTCCACACCTAAGTACTGTGTCATTTCACATCATCCCAAGAAGGGTGAGTCCCACATGTTAAAGATATTTTGAGAGGCCGCATTCACATAACTTTTAATACAATCTCTTGCTACACAGTGGCTCTGCACAACCTGAGCCAAGCAGTGGGCAGGATAATCCCCAACTGTCCTTATACTAAATTAGGAAATGTATAATGTAGATTTCATCATAGGTATGTAAGGGGGAAAACCGTAGTATTAACAGGCTAATAGTCTCTATGGCTTCAGGCATCCACTGGATATCTTGGAACATATCCCCTAAGTCCAAGGTGGGGTCAGGGGGTGGCTACTGAAACAGGACACAAAGCAAACTCCTGTAGTGTTGGGAATGTTTTGTGTCTTCACATGAGTATGTATTTTTTCAAACAAGAAGACTGATACTCCTAATTTCTCTGTGTATATAGTACTCAAACTACAAAAAGTTTTACCTCACCCATATCCTCTCAAGTCTTGCCAACTGCTAGGACAATTTTTCTCACCCTTTGCCTCTTCGCATACTCGTACTTATCCCTCAACACCCAGTTCAAATATCACCACTGCTTTTCTTTAAATGTTCCCATTTTCCTGACAATACCAGTTCCTTCCTCTGTGCTTAAATGCAGATTAGTGCTGTAGTGCCAACAACCAGGCACAGGGCAGGCTGGGGGCCAGGGAGTTAGGAAGCTGGTAAGCCTTCCAGCCCCCAGCAAATCTTTGCTCTTTCTCTCTGGGCTCTCTGGTACCTTCTCGTGGGCTCTCCTCTCTTAGCCACTCCACTGCTGTCAGCCGCTCCTGCTGCACCATCCTCTGTGATGCCTTCCTTAGCCTCCAGGCTTAGGTGTGCCCCTTTACGCATGCCCACACCATACTCTAGATGTCCACCATCAGGTACAGGTATGAGCCCACACTCCCAAGCGTTTCTTGTATTCAAGGCCGCAGGTTATAGCCACAGAGGCCAACAGCACAAAAGCCTGAGAATCTTCATCTACCCTACAGTGCTACTGACTATAGTAATTTACAAGAATGCCTCATTTGTGAGGCACTTGTCTTGTTAAATTTGCTCTCAGTGCTGTGCTTTAATCTCCTGTGCCACCACGGAGGCCTAAGTTGGGATTCTGTTGTAAAGTGTAGATCCCCTTCTTTTAAAGATTTTTTTTTTTTAATTTGGGTCTTCCCTGGTGGTGCAACAGGTTAAAGCACAGAACTATGAAGCTATCCATAGCTACTGCAGCATGAGTTCTATTCCCAGTCAGAGAGGTGACCCACATAGCACAGCAGACCTCTCCTGACTCCTCGCTGCTTCCCTCAGCAGTGTATTTCAGTTGATCTGCCTGCTCTGCTCCCCAGTCTATCATTAATCTCACCCCACATGCACACACATATCTGGCCTGTACCCCAGTTCTTGTATGTATAAATAAATAAATATATATATTTTTTAAAGGTGCTCTCGGGCCTTCCAATGGGGCAACAAGAGATCAGTCATAACCTGTTAATAGAGTTCATTGAACATTGAACTGGCCTGTGGATAAGATCTGGGTGTTACACAGAGCTGTGTGACCTTATTCTTGTTACATCAACCTCTCTGAGCTTCATTTTCATTAGGAAGGGGATGACACCACACTCCTGACTCACCTGGTGACTGACACAAAGATCAGATGGCTGTATGTCTGTGAATGTGCAGAAGAAATCAGAATTGTTTCCTTGAGGACCATCAGGCCATAGGGGGCAGCAGTGGTCCAATATTCAGCTCTTGCTTCAGGTGTGGAAGCACCTGCTGGAAGCTCCCTGGCCATGACCAGGTGTTAGTGACTCCAGAGGTCTGGTAACCATGCTCCAAGGCCCCACCTTCCAGACTGGGGCAATGCCCTGCTTCTCCAGCACCCCCATTCTGTCCTGTTATTCCAGGATCGTCACTGTGGCTGACAGCCTCCTTCAGACTCCCAGCCTGTTTATGTTCCTCTGTTTCCCTGTGAGACTCCCCTCTCATGTAATACCCACAGAGGTCTCCTATCTCACTTAGGAAAGCTGACGGATGCAGGCTTTTGGACCTCCCAAACAACCTTCCCTGTAAAAAAGTGCAAAGATCAGAATGCTTTTGTCTGAAAATTAAGTAATGTTACTGTTCATTTCTGAACTGATTCAATACTCTAACTCTACTAGCAGGGAGTTAAGATATGACCATTGGGCATCTCAGGGGACCACATGCACAGCATACCATGGGGCTTTTATTTTATTTATAAAATAAAATGTATAAAATAAAAT